TCCTCCTCTAAGTCCAGGACTTTCTCTCTGACATGCTTAGTCCTGTTGACATGGAGAAGTATCCAGATAGGAACTTCCCTAATGAATTCTGAAGTGCTACCGTCTCAGGAGGACTGTACCAGTTTCGGAGGAGAGGGGAAACATGTGGCTAATAAAAAGATGAGACAGACTCTGCTGGATCAGAGCAAATGCCCACTTTACCTGGGACCCTGTTTCCTATAGTTGTCAGCCAGGTGTTGCTAGGAACTCCACAAGCAGGTCAGGGAGGCAACAACTATCCCCCCTGTGGTTGCCCTCAGGAAGTTGTGATTCAGAGGTGGACTGCATCTAGACCTGGAGGTTCCGTTTACGAATAAGCTTTGATAGGCCCTGTCCTCCTCCATGAATTGCCTTAGGCAATGACGGTCATCACAGCATTTTGTGGCAGCGAATCCCAGGATTACAGGCTGCTCGCTGCCGACCTTGCCCATCAATCCCATTGATCTGACCAAAGGAGCTGCAATTGAATGCCATCTTGGCCATAAGCACAACCGGTGACTAGTCGCTATCTTTCCCTTTGCCCTCTCTCATAATTGGAGGAAAATGCCCGGTTAGCTACCCCTGAGCTGCCTGGAGAATAATCAGGATTAACATATTAAATGCACCGGTTAATCAAATCCCCAGGTCTCTTTGTGTTGTGGTAATTAAGCTAGATCCAAACCAGTCTAAATATGCATGAGCATAACGCGTGCAAACATCTGCTCCCCATCATATGTTTCCTTTAGCTGTGTGGTGACCCATGAGGACTAGGGCCTTCTTTGAGCTGAAAGGAAAATAAGAGGCGGGTGTCTCACCTTTCCAGGCACCCACATTCTTGGGGAGTCCCTTGGGGAGGGTAGGCGTGCAAAATGCTTTCTGAGAGCAGCCCTTTACACCGCCCCCTTTTCCGCTCTCAACAGTAGCAGTTTATTGCCTCAGGTTTGCTGCATGTTCACTCCTGCGGAAGGCCGCCTGTTCGCACGATCACGAGGGGGAAAGAAACCCTGTTTTCCCCCAGCACATGTGCCGGCTGCACGCCAAGGTGGACTTGCACAATTTCCATCAGCGACACAACTCTCTGTGTCATGCAAACCCAGCAAAGGTGGCTTGTTGCTGGGATTAACAACCCGCCCTAGAACTCTACAATGGCCCGGTCACTTTGTTAAGGCACTGCGATTCTTAGATGGCAGTGGAGGGAAAAGAAACCGGAAAGACGAGGCAGATGTTTCTCCCTTGTTCATTTGGTGTGTTGATCTTGTGCACTGAACAGTGTCTGCTTCCCCTTGTATAGTCTATCTACCCGTTTGTTTGGGTCTGTCGTCACAAGTGGAAGGAAGGGAGTTAGTCTGCAGCTGTTCCGGGCTGAACGTACCTGCTCCTTCCTGCTGCCAGCTCCTAAGCAGGGTTAGTCGTGCTTGGATGGGAATCTGAGGAGCAGAAGGTTGCAAGGGTCATGTCAGTGTTTCAACATGCTTTTTCCTTCAGGTGCAAGAAGCCCTGGGTTCATTTCCCAGCCCAGCCCAGTAGCCCCAGTAATGGCGAAGCTCCCCATGGCTTGTACGGAATGCACTTGGATAGAAGTCAGCTACTTCTCCCCGCCTCATAAAAATACCAGGAAAAGGATTGGCTTATGTCAGTGCCAGTCTGGGTCCTGATTGAGTCTGCCCCCACCTCCACGAAAGCCTCTCCGCCCGTCCCCAATTTCCCAGATGTTCTCCACTTGCTGCTAAGAATCTGTCCCCTTCCTGGCATCTGGAGAAAACCTTGTATTTGGTGAGCATAAAAAGCCTTGCAACTTGTTTTTGCAAGGCCAGAAATACGGATCTCTATGAGGGGGCTGTCCCATGGCAGGAACGGTTGTTGTGTTTAAGCCTTTTTCAACTGCTCCCCAAAAAATGCTTTACTAGAAAGATCTTTGCTCTTATCCAGCTGTGTTTTTATTAAGCTTAACATTTCTGCTAAGAACAATGGCGATTCCTCCAAGGCTGGCCATGGTGGGGAGTCCAGGTGAAGACCTGGGAAAATGGCCAGCCTTGCGTGTGCATTTGGATGAAGGAGAGACAGAACCATCCAGTGCTCTTCCAAGCCAGCACCACGTGTGTGTGGGGAGAGGAGCCCGCTGCCCCAGTGTGTGATTTCTGCAAGGGTACCCCGTGCCCCTGGCAAAGCCGCACAGATGCAGAAGGGCTGGCTGTTCTGCCGCTGTGTCACCTGGCTCCCTGCCGCTTCCTTGCTGTTGCTTCATTCTTGTGTGATTTGCGCAAACACTATTAACTTTGTCCCAGTAAGGATGACATAATAGCAGCTTGTGTGTGGAATCCTTCCCAAGTAGCATGCAGACAAGTTCCTTGCCAAAAGCCGCTTCCAGCTGCCCCGGCTCCTCCTCGCACCCTCCGAGGTGGAAGGCTTGGACTCCTTTCAAGGCTGTCCATGGATTTCAGTGGGACCAGTCCGGCTTGAATCAAAGCACTTTTTGGATTAGCTGTTTCATAGATCAGGTTGTAAATGGTAGAAGGGATGTGACCTCGTGAGACCTGCTTGTCGTTTGGGAAATTGCTGAAGCTCCTTTTCTAGTTGGGAAGCTGTGTGTCCATCAGCCAGTATGAGAAAGAGTGCAGTGGGAACGGAAAATAGAAGATGCAAATTACAGGAACGGGGTGTGTTGATTTGGGGACCCCAATTTTGGAGCCGTGCAACATTCGGCTGGTGCATCTTTACACAACGTGATGATCGACAGTTGCGTGAATCCCACTTGTGGGTTGTCATGCATGAACAATGCAGCTGTGTCCATTTTGGCATGGGGACCAGTAAAGCCACTGTCACTTGTGCGATAAATGGCAGGCCAGGAATCATGCGTGTATGTATTTGCAACTGAGTTTTTCATGTAGGATACCGGTCTGGTGGGTAATGCTTGATTGTCTAGATTCCATCCATTTGACTAAAAAAAGTCTCCTTCACTGTTCAGAATTCGAAATCAACATATATGCTTCTATTTCTTATAAATATACGAAGATGGATATAGTGCAATCAATTCACATGCATAGAAAAAAGAGAATGAAATTAAAATAGCAAAATAGAAAGCGTTAGTAATTGGTTGGATTAGAAATAAATAAATCCTCTCCTGCCCACCCACACACTCTGATATTCATCTCACGTTCTGTGAAGAGGGAGCTCCTTTTTGTGATTGTTCTGGGTCTGTTTGAACAAGGGCAGAGTGTTTGCCCATCTTATCAGTGGCAGAAAAACTGGCAGCGCCGAGTGTCCATCATCTGGTACCACCTCCTCTCCCTTCAGCTTCATGACATCAAGTTGGAAAGCACTGTCTTCACTCTGATTTTACTTCATTGCAGTGACACCTAACAAACCAGATTTGGCTACGCAGTGACATTGCAGAGCCGGTTCAGAGTAGAGGCACTGTCCTCACTCTGCTTTGGCTTCATGAAAAAATCATGAAACAACATCACGTAACACAAAAAGAAGGGTGAACGAGGCGAGTTGGGTGGCAGTAATGAACATCGCTGGCTTCCCAGACTCTCCCCTTCTGTGTCAGGTGTTTTATAATGTTTGGCTCAGCCTGAATAAAATGTAAGAACAGTATCACGCCTATCAGGCCCGATTCGCAGCCCTTCCAAAGTCTGGCAATGAAGCTCGTTTTTACAGCTTTGCTGACAGCTCCCCTGAAATGAGGCTGGCAGGATTCTCCTGGAAACATATTCCATATGGAATGTGTGTCCACGGAGAAGGTCCCACTTCAGATGCAGGAAGGGACCTACAGCAAAATCCATGGTGTGAGACGATGCAGAAACGGACAGCAGAGCAGAACCTATGGCTTCAGGCAGCATTACTTTTTGACCCAGTGAAGCACATGCAAGCTGGTCTTAAAACGTCAGTTTCACGTGGGGAATATTTTGTGTTCTTTGCACGCAAGGGGATCACAAAGCAAGACTTTGTCCCGAGCTGGTTCTTCACACAAGGCGCTCTTGGTGTGCTGTAGACCAAGTCGGCCGCTGTGGCCTGCCTCACCAAACAGTTTCTGGAATACCACCCAAATATACATTTGGATATCATAAATAAAAGCACATTTGGGCAGCATTAATGATCACATGTGGATGCCATAAATTCTCACACTCCTCCCCCGTTTTGCTCCCAGCACGGCTGCTGTGCTCAGCGTCAGCAGACTTCCACGTACGCTAGCGAGATCGGGAGATCCGCTTTCCGCGAGGAATGACAGGGACATTGCAAAGGCTGCTCCAAGATTGGTTACGTGGTCAGAGCCGGACTAGATGTGGGCGGCACAGCCATGGCGGGTCGTTCCGTGCCTGCCGCGTTCACACTTTAAATGGCTGTGTGGTGCTGTGGTGTTGTCTCATTTGAATGTGGGAAGAGTTTCAAACGTGTGGCTTCATTATGTTTCTTTTCTTCCCAGCCTGGGCTTCTTTAGCAGGAGCCAGGCAAGGCGCTGATAAAATACGTTGTCATGCTGGGGCGTGGAGAGGTAAAGAGGGAGAGTTTGACTCCCCTGATTTCCACACCCTTTTACTGATTAAATGAGGCACGATTCCCCCATGGATGTGAACAGGGTGCGGCGCTGGTGAAGGAAGTGTTGTGGCTTGAAGCACCCTCCTCTCCTGCTAGCACCAAGGGTGGGCATGGTTGGGCACCTGCCAAGGGCCTGCATCCAGGTGGGGGCCCACTGACTGGAGCTGCCTGGCATTCCCCTCCTCTTTGCATCCTGCCCTTTCACCTGCGTCTTGCTGTGGCCCAGGTGATGCTGGTGGGGAGGAGGAGGGAAAAGGGACGCCACAACCTCCTTGCCCCCTGGCTCCCTGTGGGGAAGAGGGAAGTGGGCTTACTGGGGAGAGGGGCCATGGAAGGCGCTTTGAGGGAGGAAGGAGGATTTGAGCCCCGGGCTGGTGCGGGTCCTTGATGCCATGAGGCTAATTTTTATAGAAGTCTTCCTTGCTTTTTCAACATGCAGCCACTTCCAACACACTTGAGAAGAGCCGCAACCTGCTCTTCGACAACATGGAGTATCTCCAGGACAAGGAGGACGGCCTGCATAGGAACTACAATGACCGCGCGTATCTCAGCTCCGAGGACTTGGTCCGGGATGACAACCACATAGGTATGGGCGGAGCTTGGCCAGCTCCAGGTGCAGCATGAGGGGATGAATGCAGGATCGAGCCTCATAGTGGGCCAGGGCTTGCCAGGTGGCGGCACCGGGTCTTGTTTATCGGCAGGGACGGCTGCTTCCTCTGCCCCCCCCTCAGGGGTTTTTTTCCCCCCCCCCCCCCCCCCGAGCTTAGCAGCAGCCGTCACAGTAGCTTGCGTATGGGGAAATGGGTTTTCTCAGCAACTGTGTGTTGTGTGTTGTTATAAGAGATCCCCTTTGTGATGCAAAGCGTTTTGTGTGGCTTGGTTCTGAGTGGGGATTTAAGGGAACGTTCTGTACCTTTTTACACAGAAAAAGGTCTACAGGTCTCTGCCAGCTAGGGAGAGCTGCACACGACAGGGCTTTTCCCTGCCCAAACGTGCAAAACGTTGCACTCTGAGACTAGGGCTTTCAGGGCTGGGAGCCCAGCGGGTCCCTGGGCCAGGCTCTCTGGCTTTGTGCTGGCCCTCAGGCCAAGCTCCTGGTCAACGCACCCGGGGTTTATGGGTCAGTTGCCAGGGATAGAGCCCATGTGCCACACAAGCAACACCCCTCTTCTCTGCCACCTGCAGCAGCTGCTTGTGTGGATGCAGAAGAGGGCACTGTTTAGGCAGCGGTCATGTGGGGCTCCTGCGCAACCAGTGCCCAAGCCGTGCCCCCTTCCGCAGCAGCCTTTGTACTGCTGCCCGTGATGGAGAAGTCGTGCTTTGCCAGGCCAGGCTGAACACAAAAGGAAGTCTGCCAAGGACCAACAGGGTGGATTCCGGTGGGCTTCCACCCAGCCCCACCTAAGGCCTATTAGCTTCCCACTTACTGGAACTGGTTTGTTGACTTTGGAATAAAGGGTGGAATCCTATGGCCCCCAGATGCTGTCTAGAGGGCCATAGGAAAATTCGGAGCCCCCCACTCCAGCTTCAGAAAAGTGCTGTGAGGTCTGAATGGGAGCTCCCTATTTGGCACCCTCCTTTTCCCTCTTGGACGAGGCTTTTCCTCCTCTGACACAACACAGGGTGAACTTACATGTGTGCCTTTTCCATTCATGGGTGAGTCTTCCCATAACTCCAAAAGCTGGGAGTGAGGGACTGAGTTCTGAAGTGGTAGAAAGTCCTGGGCTGCTTCAGACCTCAGTTTGAGGATCCCATTTTTGAACGCTTCTTTGTATTCGGCCCTTCACAGAAGGGCTTCACAAACATTAGCCGAGGGATGCGCGAGCCAGCCCCAGTCTTCCCCAGGATGCCCTCCACTTCGGGGAGAGTTCCTGTTTTGTTTTACTCAAAGACACATTCATAATGGCATCTCCTGCCTGCAGGCTATGCTAGCAGAACCCATCCCAATGCCCCAAGGGGTTTTTTACCACCAGCTCTAAGAAAGAGAGAAGGGTTCTCTTTTCCTCTCCTACAGGCCAAGTCTTAAAATAAGATCTCTTCCCGTCCTCTTTATGCATGGATGGGACAGACAAGGGGAAAAAACCAACGTGGCTACCTCATCAGGTCACAGTTGGAGGTGCTAAATACCGAAAGATGTCAAAAATGCAACATTTACAGTCTTTTCTGTGTTTTTTTGTTGCCGTAGCTTTTCCTTTTTTATAGAATATGGTGGATATTTGCGTAAGTGTGATACATGCTGGTTTGCTTGATCAAACAAGCCGCTGCCGGTTTGCATGACCAAACAAGCCACCATGGTTTAAATAAGCCATGGTGGCTTGCTTTGGCTGTGCAAACCGTCTAGTGGGGGCGTTGTTCGGTGTGTATACTTCGGGGTATGTGCCGAGGACAGAAGTAGCCTGTCTTTAGTGGAGACTGTGGGAAAGAAGGGAATCCACCAGTGCAAACACGGCCATTGCAATAGTGTCGAGTTGTTTTATTCCAAAGAACAGGCAACGTCGTGTCCTCAGAAGTTTGGGTTTACAATTACCATCTGCTTCAGCTGACATGGACAGTGATCAGGATGATGGTTACAGTTCTACGGAGGGCACTAGGTTCAACTTTGGCTCAAACATGCAGAGGGATGGGTGGAAAAGAAGTATATTGAGTTCCCCAGGCTTCCAAGAAACTTCCCAGAAACTTCTGTTTGTTTCCCAGATTTTGTGGCCTTGCTGACCAGTGGCTTGGAGCCATGGGTGCCTGCGACCCGCGCGGTGGCAAAAGCCAGGTTCACGCTTGTGCGCTCACATCTGCTCTTCTCCATTCACTATGAGAGGTGGGTAAACCTCATGCTTAAACCATTGGAATAGGCCTTCCTAGAGCCCGTCCGTCGCATGGCCAAAACCTTGTGGTTTAGCTAGCAAGGTATAGATTTTATTCAGCCTGTTCCATCTGTGTTTCACAAACTGCCCGGCATCTTTCACTTTGACTCCTGCCCATTGCTGGATTTGACACCCCTCCCCACCAACCTTTGGAAAATTTATAGAACTTGACATGTAACATTTTGCATATTTTTGTTAGCTCAGCGTATAATCAATGTGTAAAGTGCAGTAAAAACAAGGACAGGCTGAAAAAAGATCAGAGATGCATAAATATTGCAGTGTTTTAGAAGGGCTGGTTCACATGTGCACCTACGTCCTGTCTGACAGCACGGAGTGCTGGCTTGCATGTGTGAAAGAGCTCTTGCGTAGCACATATCACAGCGGGACATGATGAAAGTGCTCCACTGGGTTTGTTTCCGGTGGAGACAAATCCCTTAGTCAGCTGCTAGTCCTCAAGTGATGGACGCAAGAGGTACTGGGCCAGGTGTCTGGAATGGTTTTGCGTGGCCTATCAAGTGCTTATTCATCAGGATAATCAAAGGAAAACCTTTGTCTTTCAATGAACGTGAATACTGGATTCTGGGTAGAATGCTGGATTCGTGCACCGTTCGTGGGTTTTCCAAAGGCACCTAGTTGGCCCCTGTAGGAAACTGGATGCAGGCATGGATGGACCGTTCCTTTGATGGGGTGTCTGGAATGGTGGGGATGAAGTGGAATGAGCGAGACCATTTTCTCCCCCCCCCCCACCCCGTCCTAGGTCCTCTAACGAGGCTGGGCGATGCAAATTCATTTCGGGACAGGTGAAAGGAAAGCTGCTTCATGCAGCTGTGGAATGTTCTTCTTCAACTTAGAAGGCTTCACGGGGGATGACTCAAACCCCTGGAGGATGAGTGGCTACTGCTGGCCATGGTGGCTAGCAACTACCCTCGAATGAGGAAGCTTATTTTATTTATTTATTTATTTATTTATTAAAACATTTTTATGCCGTCCCATTCGCCGAAGCCTCGGGGCGGCTTACAACAAGAAATATATATTATTGCTGGTGGCAATAATATATGCTGGTGGCTGGGAAAGATGGGTGGGAAGTGCTATGGAGCCCATGTCTGGGCTGCAGAACTAGGAAGCTCTTTGGTCTCATCAAGGGAGCCTCTCATGTGCTGAACCTTGTGCTGAAGCCAGAGGCAGGGTGGTCATGTGCCCCACGTTATGGAGGCCAGTCCTGGGTTTGGAGATGTTCTCTGTTCAATGGGTTGTCCAGTCCACGCCTGGCTTAAAGATGGCCATTTTTGTTGGCCGCTGTGAGAAACTGGAGACCAGATAGCTCTTGGGTCTGACTGGCCTTCCCTCCAGATGGCAGCACGTATCCCATCAGCCCCGCTGGCTGGCAGCCAACCCCAGCATGCACCACTCCTGCCTGTGGCACCCGCCACTCCCCCATTGGCATGCACATTCCCATTCTTCAGGCAGCTGCAAGAACCGTGCCCTTGCCTTGCTAACCTCCAGAGGCAGGGAGTTCCGCAGATATACCACATTAAAGGCTCTTCTCTGGGCAGACTCAGTGGCCAGGCAGGTGGATAAGGAGAAGGTGCTCCCTCCGATGCCCTGGTCCAGAGAGGCTCAGCACTTTATACATTTGAACCAAGGCCTTCAACCTGGCCTGGCTGTGCACCTGGCCTGGCTGAGCCCTTTGTAGGAAAAAGGCAGGGTATAAAGCTCAATATAAATAAATAAAAAATAAATTGTGGTGCCCTCAGGAAAAAACCAGCACGCTGAGAAGAGGCAGCTCCTTCCAAGAGACGGGTGGCTACGCTTGTAGGAGGCTCGCCTCATGCCCTGCTTGGGGGCTTCCCAGAGGCATCCAGCGAGCCGCTGTGGGAAGTTTGCCGGACCGGAAGGGCCTTTGGGTCAGACCTGCCTGGCTCTTGTCACACTGTCCTGGGGTTCAAGTCCCTGCTACCCCAGCGAGCTTCCTGCCCCTCCGCATCCCTCTGCTGCTTGGGCTTCAGGCATCGCCATGCTGACAGGCAGCTGGTATTTCTCTCGGATCCTTACAAAACAGCCAAACAGATGCTGGTGAATCCCAGTTTGGACTCGCATCCCAGGCAGAAGAAGGCTCCTCCTAGCAAGGTTATTGTCTTTATTTGTTATTAAAAGCTAATTTGCAGGGAGAGGGGAGAATAGGAAGGGGTCCAGGGGGTGCATTCGGCACCCAGCTCTTCCCCAAGCTCGGCCGCCTCTCTCTGGGCTCGCTCCAGGCTGGTGCCTCACGCTTGCACTTGGCTCCAAGAACTGCAATCAATCAGTCTCTCCTCTGATTGTTCAAGCTGCCTTCTGCCTGCTCCGGAGAGGCTTGCGCCCAGCCCCTCCAGCGCAGCCAGCCCTCCTCTTTTTCCAGGCCTTTGCATAGCCAAGCGGTGACTAATTTCAAAATGCATGCGCACATCCAAAAAGCGGCCCATGAAGGCTGTTATTATTTCTGCCGAGGCCAAACAAAATTGTGCTGCTTGAGCTTCGTAAGGGAGGAAAGCTAGACCGTGCCTCTAGGAGGGGGCATCACCTCTAGGTGCCTCTAGGAGGGGGGCGTTTCACCAGCAAAGGCAGGGGGTCCACCATAGCCGCGGACCACCTGCCAGTCGCAAATGCAACCTGTTTCCAGAAACTCTGCACCCCACCCCCGAGTGCCTGCCATGCAGCTCGGCAGCGCAACGAGCGCCGCGCACCCACGGGTCCTTCTTGACACGGCTAAACCAGGGAATTCACTTCCGCGAGTTGCAGTCGTCTTCCCCCGTGCGGACATCTTTAACAAAGGATCAGACAAATCCCAGGAGGAGAAGGCTCTGCGCTACCTCCACTCTCAGGGGCAGTGTGCCCGTGTACACCAAGTGCTGTGGAACATGGGTAGGAGGGTGCTGTTGCCTGCCTGTCCTGCTGGTGGGTCTCCGCTGGGCATCTGGTTGCCCATTCTGTGGCCAGGGTGCGGGGCTAGGCGGGCTTTGGCCTGGTCCAGCAGGGCCATGTTGATGTTTCAAGGGCTTCAGGCTCAGTTGTGGCGTCTTCGGTTAAAGGATCTGAATGCACTGAGGATTTGGAGAGCTGCTGCCATTCTGAAGAGGCAGGACCGGGTCAGATGTACAAGTCCTCCCAGCCTGATCCAAGGCACTTGGCATAATGTCAGGCCAACTGGCCTTCCAAAACCTTGCCTAAATTAAAATTAATTGTGTTGCACCCGTCATCCCCCAGACTCGTGCCCTGGAGAGGTTTGGGCTGCAGTTCCTGGCACACATGCTTTCTGCCAGCACAAGCGAAGGTCGGGATGGTGGGACCTGTGTTTGAGTGCATCGGGAGGGCACTGGGTTGGGGAAAGGCTGTGATGAGCATTCTATGCACAGTTCCAATTGTAAGGAAAAGTAAAATATTTTTGCATTTGTAACACAAAGAGGCCTCTCCCAAAATACAAAGGCTTGTAGAACTGGATTCGTGTCCCACTTCCCTGCTAGAGGAATCTAAACCAGTGCAGGCTATTACCAGTGAGCAGGATTCAGAAGGAGGGTTGGAAGGTGCTGATGCGGCCAGGGGGGAAGCAAACCCTGGTTAGTGTTTACCAGGGTTTTAATCCAGGAGTCCTGGGAAGCATTGGCTGCCGGCATTCTTAAAACAAGAGCTCTCCTTGAATCGCATTGCGCTGCAAAGGCTTCTTCATTCAAGAGCCTTTCCCAGCTGTTTTGCTCATCACACCATGAGAGAATCGCTTGTAGCAAAGCAAAGTTCTGTATAGTTTTGGGCACTGCATTCCACATCTGGGTTGAAAACCTTTTCGGAGGAACTGTTAAAGGGCAATGGTTAATTCAGAATGGTAAAAGTGAGCTGTTGTTTTAGGGCAGAGCTGGGCAACTCGTTCCTCTCCAGATGTTTTGGGCTACCGTGGGGGTGACGGTAGACTGCCAGATGTGTTGGTGCTTCAGTTCTCAGAAGCCCCAGCAGCAGTGCCAGTGGTCAAGGGTGTGGGACTGAAACCCAGAGATTTGGAGGATTGCTTTCTGCCCACCTCTGGCCCCCAAGAGCTCTCATGCTTCACCATTGTATCAGCTGGTTGGGGCTGATAGGAGATGTAGGCCAAAACAACTGGAGGGAACCAGATTGGCGAAAGGAGACTGATACTCTTTCAGGGCTAAACTGCTGGTGTATTTTGCTGATCAGTCCCTTTCTGATTGGCCTGTACTTTGTCAAATAAGCAGACAGTATTGCTTAGTGGTTAGAGTGTTGGACTGGAGACCCAGGAGATCCAGGTTCTAGTCTGCTTCACAGGGTTGTTGTTATAAGGCTAAAAATGGATTTATGTGAGCCGCCTTGGCTTCCTCACAAGAAGAAAGAAGGCAAGATAGAAAAGCAATGTAGTAACAACAGCAACAGCGTTGAAGCATTTAAGTCTCCAATACTCATTCATCAGAAGGAGAGGGATAGTACAATCCTAAACACATCTGCTAAACAAGTAAGCTCCCTTGAGGTCCATGGGTCTTACTCCCAGGTAAAGGAGTGTGTAGGATCCCCAACTGACCCAATTAAGCTCTTCCCAGAATTTCCCGAATGCTCGGAGAAGCGTAACACAGGGTGATGCTGAATGCTCTGCACTGGGTGTTTCTCTAGGCTTGCTAAACCAGGCTGGCAAAAATAGCGGTTTGGAGACCCTGTGCACGAAACTCCGCAGCTGACCGGCTCTTCAAAGCCTCGCTGAAGAAGCTGCCGGGATGCTCTAAGGGTAGCTGGGAGTGTCTGCGGAACCATTTCCTTGTCAGTATGCTCTGAACATGGAGCTCGAACCTCACCCTTGTTCCCACTCAGCGTTCCAGTAAGGACCAGTGTCCACTCCAGCAACTCATACTCTTGGCTTCTTTTCACATAGACTGGGCCAGCCAAGCCGAGTCCGTTTCACGGAGCCTGGTGGGACGGTCCTTTTTGAGCATCCCGTGCAAAAGGGCGCCTTTCCCCAGGATAACATGGTGAGTGCACCCCAAGGACATTGTCACCGTCATATCCGCCACGTGCGAGTTTCTAATTAATTCATTTCCTGCATTGCTGCAGCAGAGAGCCAAAGGGGAGACAGAACTACGTCACATCTGTGCTCTCAGTGGTGAATTTCGGAGCCTCTCTCTCTGAAACCAGCAGTATCCCCACTCCCCCCCACCCTCCATGGCACCAAACCTTCCATTTATGGAATGCGCTCCCCCGGGAGGTCTGCCTGGTGCCGTCATTATTTGCTTGTTGGCGCCAGGCTGAGACCTTTTTATTCAAACAATATTTTAATCATCATTAATGCTATTTATTGGCTTTATACATTTATAGCCAGGATGAATCCAGATTTTATATTTTTTTTATTTATATGAGCAACTTATTGATTGATTGATTGATTGATTGATTGTGTATTTTCAATGTTGGAAGCTGTCCCGAGGCTTATGCGACTGGGACGGCATATAAAAACACTAAATAAATAAATAAATAAATAAATAAATAAATAAATTTGCTCAGTCCTGCTTAAAATGCACGGACAAATTGCACATCTCCACTGGGCACAGGAGATGCTTCAGTCCAGGGGTTTGCTCTCGAGTCACACTATCCCGATGCACTGGCCTGTTTCTTCTTCCCCCTCTCCCTGGCTCCCACTTCTTTAGATCTGTGGCATGTGGCGGAACCTGCAAAAGCCCTCCATCCGGCTGCTGAAGGTGGATCAGCTGCACATAGCCCTGGTTACGAAGTCTCACCCGACAGGCGAGATCCAGGGCAGGATCATCAAGCACCGGGCGCTCTTTGCAGGTAACCTGTAACCCAGGACTGTCCCCCGGGTCCTTTTGTGCCATTGCCAACCCCACTGGTGTACCCAAGCCCTGCTTCAAAAGTCCCCTCTGCACTTGTGATGACTGAGCGCTGGTGACACCCTCTCAGGCCTCACAGGATCAGGCTCTGGACCACCAGGTTCTAGGGCCTAAACGCGTCCATCCAAATGGACCCAAAGCAGGCATGGAGGCAAAATCAAAGCAAGTTCTGAGGCTGCATTATATAGACTGGGCTCAGATAACCCTCATTCAGGGCTTGTCGTGCATGAAGCTCCGACAGAAACAGTGACTCACGAGGAGACCTTGCACTTGGCACCCAGAGCCCAAGCGTCGACCCCACAACCCACTGCAGGGGCGGCTGAGCCAGCTGCTGCGTCTTCCTCTGAGCCCCAGCACGTTGAGCAAACGCCTGGACCTTTACCTGAGACAGAGAGTCATGAGAAAGAGGGAGCTGCAAGTTCTACTCAGAAGGAGGCAGAGCAACTGCCTCTTCCCCCCCCTGACGCTGACCTCCCTGAGCCAGAAACAGAAGACACAGTAGGTGTCGTGGATTTTTCAAGAGCCCAGAACAGACGTCTTTTACTCCGATTTGAACAGCTACAAAGTAGACAGCGTAAGAGGGAGGAAAGGCCTGACTTGGGAGGATGATCCCACATGGGCTCAGGAAGAGAAGCCATTACAGGGCTGACATCTGCTTAGCAAGGACCGCTATTAGGGAACTTATCTATAGAATTGTAAATCTTGTAGACAATTAGCATTAAAGGACTTTAGTTTTATTGCTCTAGAATGTGTGGAATGTTTACATACCGGGCTGCCCCTCACGACAGGGCTTAAGTGGAAACTGGGTACAGGTTGTTCTTGAGTCATAAAAAGGTAAAGGTAAAGGTTTCCCCTTGACATTATGTCCAGTCATGCCTGACTCTAGGGGGCAGTGCTCATCTCTGTTTCCTAGCCGAGGGAGCCAGCGTTTGTCCGCAGACAGTCTCCGTGGTCATGTGGCCAGCATGACTAAACACCGAAGTGCACGGAACGCTGTTACCTGCCCACCGGAGTGGTCCCTTTTTACCTACCTGCATTTGGATGCTTTCGAACGGCAAGGTTGGCGGGAGCTGGGACGGAGCAACGGGAACTCACCCCGTTGTGCAGATTCGAACCGGCGACCTTTCGATCAACAGCCCAGCAGCTCAGCAGTTTAAACCACTGTGCCACCTGCATCCCAGGTCATTGCTTAAAAGCAGATCATCTGAACCCAACCAAGATAACAAACCATGGTGAACAGCTCAGAGTTCACAACCCAGCAGCAAACCATGGGCTTGCTTCAAGGGTTCTCTGTGGTTAGCAACCCATGTTTGGTTTTTTGTTTTTTTTGTTTTTTTTTGTTTTTTTTGTTTTTTGTTTTTTTAGCAAAGTTGGGTTCAGACACCAGGATAACCTATTTCTCAACAAACACCCAGAGTTTGGTGACAACCCATGCTCAGCCCATGCTCAGCCTTTGAATGGGGGTTACCATATCGACCACCAGCCATAGGAGCTACTGTGCCGGACTGGCTCTTGGCGTCAGCCTAGGTGTTCCTTTCACTGCACCTGCAGTAATGGCAGAGGTGACCTGGCTGCTTAAAGCCCTGGTTCCCCCGCATCTCCTGATTCTTCAGTGCTTTATGCTTGTCTATTCTGAACCTTCCTGGCATCCTCATCATGTGCTTTTGCTCCTCCCCCCCTCCAGAAACATTCAGTGCTCTCCTGACGTCTGCGGACCCCACCCACCTCGGCGTCGGGGGCATCGCTATGCTCACCCTGAGTGATACCGAGAACAACCTGCATTTTGTCCTGCTCACCAAGGGCCTCCTGGAGCCTGCAGAGAAAGGTCAGCGAGGTGCAAAGGGAAGGACCTTGGCAAGGATGCAGCCAGGCAGCAACAAACATCCTTGACCAAGCCTGGTTAAGATGAACAGCTGGTCAAGCAGACCAGATAAATGTTGGCCGCAGTCAACCAAAGTGGCAGTTAGCTTCCACGCCAGTCAAGGATTCACTGGTGCAGCCCTCCCCCGCCTGGTGGTTTGCAGATGTGTTGGGCTCGCTTCTATTATTCCCTGCCCATTGGCTGGGAATCATGGGAATTGCAGTCCACCGCATCAGGAGGCCCCGGGCTGGGGAGGGCTGCATTACAGGCACTCAGAGTGGTCTCCCCTTTTGGGCATCACGAACCTGGGGCCTCCGTTTCTTTGTAATAATAGCAGGCAATTTTGTGCAATCCGGTAGGGATGTCTGAGCAAGCCAGTCTGGGGGCTGGGAATCCATCAGGTTTCCTCAGCTCAGTTCCCCAGATCTGCCTTGGGAACTACAACAGTTCTGCTTCCACACACGTGACCCGCATCCTTGCTCAGAGAATTATGCAATTTGCATATTATGCACAAAGACATCTGAATTTTATGTACTTTACACAGAGAAAGCAGTAGCGTTCCCCAAGTGTTTACAGACTTCATCTTGGCTCGGCTCGCTTCCTGGCCAGCTCCGAGCCCGGAAAGCAGTCTGGCAAGGGCAAGAGAGCCAGATCCCAGCCCGATCTTCACATCACCGGCGTCTGGGATGAGTAGCAGGTCTACAAATACCGTTCTCAGATCTGGGACACGAATAGGGTGGGGAATGGAGCAGATTTCATATGTGATGCGTGTAACGTCTCAGGTTTCTCTTGTAAGGATGAGGCGCGGCCTATGGCAGTCACTTTGGGGACACAGAAGGAAATATTTAGTCATCCACTGAACTGTAACATATGTAGCAAATAAGAATACCTATGAAATAACCGCTGGAAATGGAAAAAGCAAAATAGGAACCACTCTAACTCTAACCACAGTTCATTACGAAGTGTTGCTGTACTGTTGTTGCAGCAACCGCGGTTGCTTGTCCGGGTTCCTTCAGGCCTTCTCTCCGTCGGTTGAGGCCAGCGCCTGCTGGAGTGGTTAACTCTTCTCTGCTGGCCAAGAGTTGCGATACCTGCCTGCCCACACGCTGCAGCCTTCCCTGAACTTCCTTCTGAGCTGCGGTTCCACGTGCAACGGCCGCCTCCTCTCCCCATGAAGCCCTTTCCTTCCTTCTTCCTGTGTTGCCAGCACCCACCGCCTCCTTCTGCTCCTCTCCCTCCATTCTCTGCCCGCTCCCCTTCGCACTGTCCGCTTTCAGAAATCTCACCAGACGGGGATTCTGCGGACCTCTGTGATGCAGAACTGCATGGCGACTTTGCTTCTGCACCTTTGAGCAGGGAATACACTCTGCCCGAGACACACCTGTGTGCGACACGCGGCAAAGACACAGGTGTGGTCTGTCGCCCATTTGTGAATGGAGAAGGTGACGCTCACTTACACTTCATAGCACGTGTGGGTTGCACGAGGGATCTGCTTTGGCGGGGGGGGGGGGGGGAGACATACCTGCTTTTGCAGATAAGTGTCCCAAACATGCGGTGCCAGAATGTGGGAGGTGGACGTACCTGTGAAAAGAAACAGGCCAGGTTTGTGTTTCCAGGGGTAGCAGCACAAGGAGCAGCCGGTCGAAAGAGACCAAAGCGAGGGCAATTTCCCCACTCAGTTTTCCCACTCTTATACAGCTCACGTATATTTTATTCTCAGATGGTCAAGTAACAGTGCTTAACCTAGTCCAGCCTTCCAGCTCCTGGTTCCCTCCAGGTGCTTTGGACTTCACATCCTATCAGTCCCTGCCAACACACAATGGTCAGTCAGGAGTGCTTGGAGCTGTGGTTGAAAACATCTGGAGGGCGCCAGGTTGGGGAAGGGCGAGTTGGTGGGGGAGAGGCAAGGGCAGGCTCTCCTGGGCACCTGTGGCTGTGAGAAGGTGCAGGATGGACGGGCTTCGCATTTGGCAAGAGTGGAACCTCATGGCGTGCTTTGTGCTGTGTTTCCTGCCTTCCCAGGATCCCCCTGGTTGCCCCTGAGGCTGCAGATCCTGCACCAAGACAAGGTGCTGAGAGAAGTGCTGGCCAACGTCACCTTACAGGTAAGCCGCCGTCTGTAGCACCACTCCGCAGCTCCGCCTGCGCCTCTTGCAGCCACCTGATGGCTCTGCGGCGCCCCCTCCCCTCTTGCCCCTCCTCAGGACTCCGACTTTGCAGAAGTGCTGACAGGCCTGGGCAGTCGGGAGCTGCTCTGGCTGGCGCAGGGCCAGCTGAGGATGGCTGCACAGGTGGAGGGCCGACTCCGGCGCCGGATTGCTGGCCGCATCACCACCAGGAGAGGCTGTGACAGTGAGTGGACCGTCCCCGAGGCCGCGTGTTCCAGGGCGTGGAAGAAAGTGCCCCTCTTCGTGGGCTCAGCTGGAGCTCCTGTGTCTTTGCATGACGAGCTGGAAATTCAGCAGGGACGTTCTCCCCATGGACTCGAAGCGATAGGAAAGCAGTCTGGAAAGAGAGCTTGTTTTCATCCAAGATTTGAGTGTCGGCAGCTGGGGGAAAAGTGTGAAGGGCAAGGGAAGAGGCCATGGCCATTTGGGGAGCCCTATACAGCTGGATGGGGAATCTCAGGAGAGCCAGATTTTGGGATTCCCAAGACAACCAGATTTTAGGGCCCCTCAGGAAGGCTAGATGTGGGGGCTCCATGAAGGGCCAGGTTTTGTCCCTAGACCTGAAGTGCTACATCCCTGGGGGTTTTCCAAGGTGCCAGGATGGAGGAAAGGAAGCACTTCTCCATTCGATGTGCCATTAGCCTGCGGAACTCATTGCCACAAGATGGGTCACAGTTAGGCTTAGAGAAATTCATGGATGGATTCCACAAAGGAAGCCCAAGCCTTGGATGTACCAAGGGCAGAGCAGGGCTGTCAAGGATGGGGCTGGATGGGCCAGAGGCAGCAAGGCAGTTTCTTTATTAAAGGTTTACCTGTTGAACTTCCATCCATCCTGCTGGTGTCATGTTGGTTGAACAGGCCACCTCTCGAGTGGGCGATGACTTCCGTGCACAGATCACCTCTGCTCCACACACCTTTTCTCTCTTGCTCCCAGCCCTGCAGAGCGTGCTTTGTGGAGGGGACGCCCTGACCCCCACCCAGACCGGAGCTGTCGGGTCTGCCAAGTTCATGTTGCATGAGAATGGGTCACTGGAGTATCAGGTAGGAAGGGACAAGTGGCCGAGGTGAAGCAAACAGCACCTGTGCCAAGGTGTGTGTACCTGCAGCGTACCTGTGGGGCCCAGATCTACAGAGCGGCTATTTCTTTGGGACCATATCTCTATGCCATCATCTTGGTTTTTATCTGATGTAGGGCTGAAGCATGTTGGGGTAAGGAATGAACTGGCAGAGTCCCAGGGGAGAAGTACCACAGAGGTATTGGTGAGAGCCAGTGTGGTGTAGTGGTTGAAAGCGCAGAACTGGGACGCAGGAGATCCGAGTTCGAGTCCCCGCTCAGCCATGGAGCTCACTGGGCGACTTTGGGCCAGTCACAGACTCTCAGTCCGACCCACCTCACAGGGTTGCTGTTGGAAGAATAAAATTGGGAGGAAGAAGAGAATTATATAAACTGCCTTGAGTCCCTTGAAAAGGAAAAGATGGGATATAAATATAATAAATAAAATCAGAGAGAGTGTGGAAGAGTGTGGGGCCTCCCAGATGTGTTAGACTCCAAGCAACCCCCATTATCCACGGCCAATGGCTGTGCTAGCTGTGGATGAGGGTGGCTGTGGGCCAAGCTTTCTGGCAGGCACCAGGTGGGGGAAGTTGGCCATTGATTGTCCCAGTGCTTTATACAATTAAAAAGCTAGTGGTGCGCTGGCATTTTCCTTGGATAGGCGTGTGCTTTGCTGCTTGTCCTGCTAGGAGAACAGAACAAAAGAAAGAAAACGAAACCAAACGCAAGTACCAATACAGTCCCTGCTGGGAATGTCATATCTGAACATTTCAGAGTGACTGCCCTGATCCTACAATGATGGGCTCAAATGACAGAAAACAGGTCCCCACATTCTAAGAACAGCACTTCCCATTCTGGCGTCCTCAAGATGTTTTGAACTACAGATCCCAGCATTCCGTACCATTGGCCATGCTGGCTGAGGCTCATGGGAGTTTAGACACAGAGCATCTGGAGGGCACCAGGTTGGGGAAGGCCGTTCTAGAATGAGCTCCTTCACCTTGAAAACATTACTGAACATTCGCTAGACCCCTGAAGTGAAGCTCATGGGGAATCTCTGGCAGGGGAAGGATCTGGGATTTTCAAGAAGCCTGGACTATACTCTTTACATCCCCTAAGATAATAACTTCTGCATCTTAAATTCGGAATGGTCCAACTGTTCCTTTTGAACTACATATTCTCCCCACCCCCACCCTCCACCTTCTGCACCTCGCCTGGTTGCATGTTTTGTGTCTGGTTGCACAGCCAAACATCCTGGATTCACTCCACTGACACACCCTGCCTGTTTTCCCCAACACGTTTGTACCAGAGTGAGTAAGCTCTCTCCCCTACACATCAGATCATCTCATGGATGAGCCAAGCTACTTCCCAAAAAATCCTGGTCCTCCTGGCAAATCTGAATACATGAGTCCCCAAACTCCCTTGCACCCTGCGGACAGGGCGGCAGCGCCGGAGCAGAGAGGGCAAGGAGGAACGGGGGGAAGGCTCCCCTCTCCCCTGGTTTCCTGACGCCTTGGAAAGATTGCATTTCCCTGTGGCTAAGTTTTGTCCTGGAGAAGCGAGAAAGGAAAGAAACCTCTCTCCCGGTTTTCCGTGGTTTTCTGCTGCTTCCAAAGAAGCCTGCAGAAGGTTAAGTGTGGAGGGAGAGAAGAGGGGAAGGGGATTAGGGAACGGGGTAGAGGATTGAGAGAAGGAATGATTTTGGGGTTTCCTGGTTGAGTGCCAGGAGGTGAAATTCAAGCCATCAAGGAATCAGTGGTTAAAATGCTCCCCCCCCCCCTTTAAAGCAAGTATTATGAACTCCTTCAACACATACGTCCAAATATGACCATGGCATCTGTATCTTCTTTGCTTCTATCCATACCGAGGGATTATATGAGGCACAAAAGCAGGAAATGTTTAGGGAGCTGTGCGGTGACATTGCCCAAGGGGATCCCATGACCCAGGTGCTGTCACCCCAAAGCTCCCGTGAGGATTTCTTGCTCTGCTCTGTGCTTCAGAGAATTACTGCGCCTCCCTCAGGTCCAGGTGGCCGGAACCAGGAGTGAGGTGACTGGCATCACGCTGGAGACCAAACCCCGCCGGCGGAATCAGCGCAACGTCTTGTACGACATGACGCACAGCTATCGGGATGGAATGGTGAGCATGGATGGCATGGCGAGGCCAGTACAGGTGAGGGTGGGGGGCGTTGGGGGGGGGCTTGGAGCCTCTTTCCACCCAAGGACTGGACTCGGTTTCACTGAAGCTCTGGGGCGGCCCTCCATGGGTGGCCAGGGCCCAGGGCAAAAGGCAGGGCCAAGACGCCAGCATATTTTGACTTTACACTCATGTGGCCAATACCTCGGTCTCCGGAGAGGCGTTTTATCCTTTCAGAATAGGGAACCAAGGCACCAAAGCCAGGAACCCGCAGGCTGTTGCTGGCTGTGGGGAAGGAGCCGGCGTAACGTTCGGCAAATGCTTGAGGTCTGAGCAACCCTGAGGTGGGAAGACGTGGTCCGTGAGCCTGCAGTTCAATAGCTCTGCTCTTGGACTGGCATTCGGTGAGACCTGCTCGGCCAAGACCCTGACACTGGTCACCATCCACGGCTTCAAAGGCGCAGTGCAACCTGTATTCAAGAAGTGCCACGTCCTTTGAGCAAATTCGGTTCCACCTGAGTTTACGCATAGCCATGCGATCTCTCTGTGTGTTTATTCCCTTTCCAACTGTCCACTCTTTGTCTAGGCCAGCGGGATCTGGGGGCAGGCGAATGGGCGGGATGCCCACATGTTGCTGCAAAATGAGCTCTTCTTAAATGTGGCCACGGGGGAATTTGAAGAGGGGGAGCTGCGTGGACAGATCAGCTCCCTGCTGTACAGTGGACTCCAGGCACGATACCAAGGTACCGCTGCAGGAAGCTCCGAAGCGCCGAGCCATCTGGAAAGCGCCCCGCAGGTGGCTGAACGCGGAGGAGAGGGTCTTGGCTCGGTCCATGTGGTTCTGGGCTTGGGCAACACCCAGACTAAGCACGGGCAAGAGGCAGTGGGATGGGTTGAGGCAAGCAGGCAGAGGAAGAGGAAACCTGCACAGCATTGAAATCCAGCCAACTTTTGCAAAGCCTTTTTGTTACTAAATTTTTTATTATTTTCATATTAAAAAAGAAAAAGTGAAAAGAAAAGAAAAAGATTCCAAGGGACCTTACACAGATCTTACATATAGTACCAAATTTGGGAAGAGTCATAAAAAGTCAATTGTGGTTATTACTTCTACCAAATTTATAACTACAATTTTAATTCAATCATCCTTAATTAAAATAATAGTTAAGTTGATTAATACTTAAGATTAATACATATTACATAGAAAAATGCTTTGACATGGGTGTCAGAAAAATATTAATTCACATTATAACCACAAACCCACCAACAATTAGTAAAGACTTTTTCCCAGATAAAACAATATCATAAATGAATTAAATTCATAGAGCAATTATTCTAATTCATAATACTTAATGCTACCTTATTGTCTGTTCCTTTTAAATTAATTTTAAATAGCAATGAAGCATTTGGATTGAAATTGTGATCCAACTTTTGAAACCTGGGGGTCGAATTCATTCTACGTGTGCAGAGCTTAGCTGTTCGTTCAGCGAGGGGGAAAGCCTTCTCTGTGCTCTCCTGCCCACAGAATTAGGCAGTTCAGCTCAAATCAAGGCATGAAATGCAGCCCCTCCTCCTCAACACCCCCAATTCTTGGCTTCGCTGCCCAGGCACAGAGCTGCGCTGACAGCAAAATAGCTGCAGCTGGCAGGATTCCCCTTCCAGGCAACTGTACAGAAGCAAAGCGTCTCTGTGTGTAGCCCTGAGCTGCCCTGGCCTGCCACTTCCTTCCTGCCAGCCACACACCTTCTCCCCTGCGTGGGGGGCCAGACCCGCTTTGCCTCCCCCCCCATTTGCAATTCATGCCTCTGCCACTTTTTCTCTGCTCCCTGCTTTTCATCATCCGACCCACTCCAACCTCTTGATCGCCCCCACCAGCATCCCTGCCTCCCGCTCAGCTCCTGTGCAAGGCTTCCATCCCAGTCAAAGGGAGGATTCCCCACCGTCCTCACACAGATCGGCCGGCAAATGTCCTGCGTCCTGGGCAGCTGCAGACTGCAAGCCATGCGCATTCTGCCCCACCCCCTGGCTCGGCCAGCCCGGTCCGGTGGCTCGTCCATCACTCGCATGATGCAATTAAAAGCGGACTTGCCAAAAGCAATATTTTGCTCTATCAGTTTAAAAAGCTCCCTAGCCCCTAGTATGTTTATAATCAAGAGGGTCATTAAGAAAAACATTCAGTTGCTAGAACAAGTGTTTGAATTGTTGTAAGCATGTTCAAGTTGAGCGGGGTCAGGGCAGGAAGGGACAATGGAAAACATCCACAAATGTAAAATAGTATAAAAACAAGTTAAAAACAGTGGATGACAAAACTACCCAATAAGGAACTAAAATGGCCACTCTCATCCTGTCATATGCCTGGGAATAAAGGGATGTCCTGTTCTGGCATTGCAAAGAATATCGCTCTGGTTCCAAGCGGAATCCATTCCACAGCCAGCGCCGTACTGCAGAAACGGCCCTTCTTGCCATCCCCCAAACCTGACCATAATATACAGGTGGCTTCACACTGGGAGAGGTGCTTGGTCAGAGATTTTGGCTGCAAACTACAGAAGGCCCTAAAGGTCAAAGCCAGCACTTGAATTAGGTTTGAAATATTCAGGCAGTCCAGTCCAATGCAGGGGGAGAGGAGAGTCATTTTGTAGCTGTGACTATCCAATAATTGGGTCTTAGAAATCTTTGCTCAGCCTGCTGCGGATCATCCAGGGATCTACCAGGAGATCCATGCCTGCCTTCCTCCTGGCCCAGACCTAATGCAGTTCAGCTCTGACCAGTTCCGGGGTCTGGTTAGCCTTCCATGGCTCTGTTGTGTAGCCACAGCCGAGCTCCACCGAACACAGTAGCAAAGCCTTACCTGTGCCTCGAACACGTGTCTGAAGCTGCCCTCCTGGCTCGCGACGTCTTTGTGCTGCAGAGCTTCCGGTGCCCCTGGCCGGCCAGTTCGTGACCCCTCCTGTGCGCACCGGTGCTGCTGGGCACGCCTGGGTGTCCCTGGATGAGCACTGCCACCTGCACTACGAGATCGTGGTCGGCGGCCTGGGCAAGGCAGACGACGGCACGGTCAGCGCTCATCTGCATGGCTTTGCTGAGCTGGGAGAGCTCCAGGAGAGCAGCGTGCGGGAGCACAAGCGGCTGCTCAGAGGCTTCTACGGCTCGGAGGTAAGGCGCTTCACCGAGGGGGTGCGCCGAAGGGCTCCTCCATCCTGTTCTTGGCTGAGGAATTCACTGCCACAAGCCGGAGTGAGGGGAACTTCTTTCAGCCCAGGGGCTGAGTTCAGTTCTGGAGAAGCTCCCAGGCTGTGTGTCACAGGGATGCGTCTGGCCAGAGGCAAAGAGGCAGGGCCATCCGAGAGGCAGGAGCCACGCTGCCACCCTGGGCCTTAAGTCCCCAACTCTGGCCTAGAAGGACCTTTCCAAAGAAAGGGAGAAATAATGAGAGACAGCGCCATCAGGCTGTGTTGGCCATGATAACCAAAAAGAACCGAGAAGCAGAAAGTCAGAAGGGGCCTCCCAGCCCATTTAATCTGACCCCCCCCCCCCCCCCCGGCTCCAGCTAGCTCTGCTCGTGACATGCCCACCATGTACATGTCCAGCCTGTCTCTGAACACCCTCACCGATGGGGCCTCAACCACCTCCCGGGGAAGCCCATTCCACACCCCCGGGGTCCTGACTGTCAGGAAGTGCTTCCTGGCATCCACATTGAATCTTGGTTCCCTGAGCTTTGCTCCACTGGAATGGGTCCTGCCCCCCACCACAGGGGGAAAAGGTCATGACCTCCCTCTGCTTGACACCCCCTCACATACCTGCATGTGGCTAACAGGTCCCCTCTGAGCCTCCTCAAGGCTGAAAAGACCCGGCTCCCTCTTCCAGGTGAGAGGCAGGTTTCCTCTGAACGATACTCAGAAGGGACTTCACAAGACTCTTCAGTTCTGGGCTGGTCTAGAAGCCCATCCCTGCCGTGCACCTTTGCTATTTAGTATCTGTTTTTAGATTGGATTATTAGTTTGCTTCTGGCTTCTTGTTTTATCGTTTACTGTTTTATTGGTTATTGTTATTGGTCGTATCGTGTTTATTTTCCTCCAGTTTCCTATTTATGTGGTCATATTTATAATGTATTTTAATTCTAATGTGTTTTATGATTTTGTTTCTTATTGTTATTTATTTTTATCTGTATTTTAAATATTATATTCCACATTGTTGGCTATGGGGCAGCATACAAATGTGACAGACAGACAGACAGACAGATGCACCTCACTGGCTTCAGATGGCAAATTAGGCAAGTTGTGTGGTATGTGACTGGTTTGCACTGGGGCAGGGAAAGAAGCTGCAGAGACTTCTTTTCCCCCGAAGTCTGAGTTCCTCCGACTTCAGTGGCTTCACTATTTAGAAGTTCCTCCCCTCCCAGTGCCTGCTAGAATCGAATTTTTTGCATGGGTAGTGAAAACATTGGGATGGATATTCAGCAGCAATTTTGCAACGGGACTTTGGGGGAAAGTTGGCTGCTGGCTGGCATTTTCCATGCATCTGTCACCCAAGCACAGACCCCATTTTGAATGCTCAATAAGCCTCGTGCAGAAGAAAGACGTGCCAATGTCTCCAAGCGTGGGAGGGAGAGTGGAGAGCACCTCTTGAAGAAATCAGGTTCCCGTCTTAAAATTGATTCTGCCCTTGGGCTAAGAGCTGTGAAAGCTTTCCAAGAAAGACCTACAGAACGTGTGACCCACTAGCTCTCTAGCCATGGATCGTTGTGACTTCTCATGTGCTCTACACACACACACACACACACACCTTTCAGTCCTAAACGTGTGGGCTGTATTTTGTTTGGTGAGATATACATTTACTCTGTGGCAAGAACTGCCATTTTAAATTTCCCCACAATGCCATGGAGTTGGGCCCACTGCAGGGAATTTAAAATGGCAGTTCCCAATTGCCTGGTTGACCTTGTCATGGGATTTAAATTTATTTAGTTTGCTCTGAAGACCTGCATCTGAAGAAGAGCTTGGTGTGACTCAAAAATCTGCACCCCCAAAAGGTAGCCAAGGAAAGTTGCTTGCTTGCATGTAGAATGCCGTTGCCAAGCTGAAGTGCTCCAGGTGCTGAGTTTATTTCTGAGCACAGAACAAGCCCAGGAGGGGTGAGGAAAAGGATCTGCAATATCAGAAATGAGATTAAGGGATGCATTTTTCCATCCCACGCAGGCCCAAGGGGTAGTGAAGGACCTGGACAGGCAGCTGCTGCACCATCTGGCCCAGGGCACGGCCTTCCTGCAAGTCAGCACCAAAGCGAACTCTCAGGGAGAGATGCGGGGCAAGGTACGTGGTTGTCGTTTTTCTCTCTGGGTCCTGCAGAGCTCTGTTTGCTCTTGGAACAGCAGAAGCAGCTCCTGATTTGACTCTGAAGATGCCAAGCCTTGCTTCAGGGTATCTAAGTTCTACTTTTTGAGCTTGTAAGGACAGCATCCCCTCTTCTGCTGAGCTGAACACCTAGACTTTCTCTGGGCTGCAGCTTTTTTTTAAGGGCCTGTGTGTTAACTATGTGTAGGAACACCTAGACATTGTAGGTGTTCCTGCAATGTCTTTTGGGACACTGATAGGGGAGAAGAGAGGAAGATGTGGGGGACATAGAGCCTCAGCTGTGTCTGGTCGTCACTGAGGCGCAATTTAAACCACAGCGCACGGTTAAAATTCTCAGGGGTTTTAATCTGTTGCGTGAATCCAGCCAGCGGGATTGAACAATATCCACAGCAAGTCATAGGCTGCGAGATGCCTTGGGAAAAATAGTACAGGTTCTCGCTACCCACAATCCTTTGCGGCTCTCCGCCCGTGATGAGTTGGGGAAGACCGAATGCACGCATCCAGCGTAATAAGCCATGGTGGTTGATCCTGGGCGTCAGAATGAACAAACCATGCTTCTGGGTTCAGACAACACAACAACCTACCCCTGGCTTATGAATCACTGTGGATTTTTGTGTTCTGTGAACCAGTCACCATATCCATTGTTAATCCTTGCTGGGAAACTTCTCAAAGAAGACATCCTTAAGAAACCCAGCATGAGAAAGGACTCACCTTCTAACAGTTTTTATTGTTAAGGTGGGCCACACTGGCTCATAGAGAAGCCCAGCAAAACATGGGATCCGTGACCACGCATGCCAACTAGAAGAGAAAGACCAAAATAGGTTGGAAAGCAAAAAAGAAAACGGCAGAGAAATACATGCTGGATAGTAACTCTAATTAAGCAGGTCTCTTGCTATCTTGGTTTCCATTTCTTGCCTGGTCCATAAAATGTGGTTTTTCTGATGCTGGGAAGGGGTCCAGCATTTTAAACTCAGCACCATTACTATATAAACAGACATTCATAGCTTATATTTTATTGCCAAACTAGCATAATATTTGTTGACAAAAGTTACACCTGGAAAAGCAAACAAGATAATGCATGGGACATACATTGCCAGAGCACACTTACCTGCCACCCCGGTGCCTTCCCTACTCTTAACCTCTTACTCTTGAACAGAAATGTGATCTGATTCCTCACTTTATTCTGTCTAGTACAATCTTTTAATCCCACCTTTTATCATTCATTCCTATTCGATGACATCTTGTTTTGACTTGTGCAGTCCTTTCTGGGTTTGACCTGTCCAGGACATGGATATTAATGAGCAGCAGCATTTCTCATAATGCTCCTTTCCTCCAGGTCAACCTTCTGGCCAGCAATGCATCAAGAGTATGCTGTGGTTTGGGCAGTCATTTTAGTCCTGCCGCTTTGATATACAGTACTTGAATGCACCATGGCATTAACACTGGCTGCCAGGCAAAGTCTCAGGGGTGCCAATGAACAAAGAAAAAGCCCAGCACATTTCAGAATGAAGAACTGCTTTCTCAGGGAAATATAGTTTCTAGGAACGTCTAGGAAATTCTAGGAACAAAGCTAAGCCAACTTCCAAAGAAGGAGAGAATCGCTCTTTACCCAAGAGAGCAAGCTGCCTCCTTTGGGGTGGCTTGGGAATTGGGACTGGGATCTTTGGCGGCTGTCTTAGCCTTCGTCTAAAACAGGGTGCCCAGAACTTGTTGCCCTGTGGAATTTTTGGCCTACAAGTCCCATGCACCCTTGCCAGCATAGGCGAGGGTGAGGGATACTGGGAGTTCTAAGCCAAAACATCTCAGCCACAAGGAGTCACTCCTGGCCTAGAACCTCATTTCTAGGTTGCCTTGACAAAGAAGTCTTTGTTCAGAAAACCACAGGATTAATATTTCATCAGCTCTCTCGGGGATACGACTCTTTCTGCATTCTGATCCCTAACTGTGACTTAACAAATACACAATTCTAAAAAGAATACTGAAAATATGTATTAGTGGGACAGCTACCCCAGCAAGTTTATTTATATATAGGTTCTGTTTAAAGGCCATCCATCAGCATCATGCAAATCAGAGCTGTCCTGACCTAAACCTCACAGAGCAAACTTGGGCAGCTGTGGGTATTTATCCTGCTCCATTCAAATAGTGGGACTGGAGGTCATTTTGGGGGGACAAAAGCTGTGCAAGAATGAGGGAAGTGAACCTTTTCTTTCCCCGGCCTTCCCACGCATGCGGCCATCCAGCACTCGTCCCTTCAGCCCAGCTAAACCTGAGGAGCAGAGCGGAGAAGAAAATGCAAGGAAGCCATGAGCCCAGGGAGCTAAACAGCGGGGAGAGAAAAGACTTTGGCTTCTCCTGTTCATGCACAACTTTTGTTGTGAAAACTAATGCTTTGCAGCAACAGGGAGCTTGTTCTGCTGTGCTGAAATATCATCATGGAAAGGGGATGAGCTGCTCTACACACCTCGAGAAATCCTGCTAGTATTTTAGCTTCCTGCAAAAATCCCCCAGGGGTTTTGCCCCCTTAGCCAGGACCTCTGCAACCTTCTCAAGTTTTGTGTCATGAAATCCATAGGCCTGTCCAGAAACTCCTGAAGACATTTCCCTGGTCTTCTCAAAACATGTGAAGCCCTGAACCCTGAAATTCTCCTGCTTCTGCTCGGTTCAGTGCAGTTCGATTTGGCTCGGCTCGGCTCAGCTCAGCCCAGCCTGGCCCTGCCCGGCTCAGTTCGGCTCGGTTGGGTTCAGTTTGCTTTTGACAAATTGGCCCCCCGGTTTCACTTGGGGCCAAACTGAGAGCCCATCTCTCTGTCTGTCAAGCTATTGCAGACCTGTTTGCCTTAAAGCCCGTTCCCGGTTTTCTTGTGCTGCTGAGGCAGAAGAGGGCAGCAGCCTTTGTCCCACATGGGACATTAAGCAGATGCTCGCATATTTTGGAAGTTGGAGAGGCAGGGCAGGGTGGGGTTGACCGATCCTGTCGAAAATGGCGCCATTGGGTCCTCTCTTATCTAAGTGTTGAAACTGGAATGCAATAAATAGAGCAGAAGTTCTTCCGGGCGAGCTGGCCCACTGAGGTGGAGCAGTGGTTTCTGGATCACCCTAGCCCAGAAAGATCCTGGAACAGCTCCATCCTGAGGACATTTTGGCCACAGTTTAAAAGTCTGAAGCTGTAAAAGGCCTCTAAACTGACAGTGGCTGAGGTCACAGAGGCAGAACACTTCCAAAATCATCCCTTAGCGAGTGGGGGAGTTTAGCAGCGTGGCTTGCTGCCAGACACCGCTGCGTGCCAAGATCTTTAATTCTGCACCAAGTAAAGATTTTGCATTCTTAACAACAGCTGGCTTCCCCAAGGGAGACTCACTGCTTTTAACTGCAGTGCAGCAGACCGAAATTCGGGGGGTGAAGCTTTCCTAGGTGGGGAGGGGAAAGGATGGGGAAGGTGGCACAGGCGGAGGTGGGCAGTTGGAATTTTAGAAGCAGGAGCATTCTACACAGGGGTTACAGGCTGCCCCATCATCCTCCACCCGTCCAGTCCCCACCACCCTCTGCTGTTCCCCGACTCCAACTTTTCAGAATTGTTTTACATAAAGAAAGAACATTTATAGCTGCTGCAGAATGCCCAGAGGTTTAGAATAACGGTTAACTCTCGTAGCACAACGGACGAATTTGTCACTGAATTTCTAGTTCTTTTTATATATTTTAGTTTTGCATGGCCCTCCGTGGAATGCAGGGTCTGGGGGTAGAAATGCTTGCTCAGACCTCCTGACGTTGCACCCAGTTTTAACAGCACGGGAGCTTCCCTCAGGGGAGGAAACTGGGGAGACTTTAACCAAAACAGAAAAGGAAGTTTCTGCATTGGCTGGAGCAAACATGCTTCCAGCTCTGAGGGGCCTCCCCAAAGCCCTCTGGGAAGTGGTGCCTCTGGCTGGGGACACTCTGAGTCAGCTTCCTCACATGACACAGAGGCCTGGTGCTCTCTGCGGTGGTGGATCAGGCCCCAAGTACTACCACTTCAGATTCTCAGTGCTTTCCTAATCCACAATACTTGACCATGCTGGCTGGGAGTCATGGGAATTGTAATTCAGCATATTTGGAGAATGCCAGTTTGAGCAAGGCTGTTTCAGCTCGTGGTTTTCCCTTAGAAAATTCAGGGAACTGTATGGTCAAGGTGCGTACGGCCTGAAGGCGCCTCAGGCATCCACCATGTGGAAGCTAAGCAGGTCTGGGCATGGCCTGAGCTTGGAGGGGAGACCACCTGGGAACCCCATGTAGCCACCTTGAGTTGCACAATGGGAGAAAGGTGGGATATGAATATAATAAATAAATAATACAATTTCCCTACTTTCCAGCTCCCGGCATAGCTACAGTTCCCAGAGCTCCCTGGGAAAAGGGAGTGAAACCCAGTGTCATGGATGAAAACCAAAACAGGTCTCATTCTGGTTTACATTTGCAAAGACCCCAGCTGTAAGGTCGGCTGCACTTCCGGGAAGAGGTGCTCGGAATCTCTCCTCCACCTCAGGATACAAAGCAGGCTGCAGCTACAATAGCCCACAAGCACTTTGCTAGCCCTTCTCAGTGCTCACTCACCCAGTGCCCCCAATGGGAAAAAGCCATCATGGGATGCCTGCCAAAGGCAGGCTCTCATCCGTCTCGCGCCTTCTCCGGGCTGGAAGCCAGCATTTCCACAGCTTCCCAGGAAACTTCTTCGGCTGGGAGGTTGCCAGCTGTCTCACACTCGAGCAGGAACCTCGGCACGTGCTCTTCGCCCCACTGCTCTGGAGCCAGGCTGGTGCTTGTTCCCAGGTCAGAGGAGGCCCAGAGTGCCACCTGTGGGCTTTCGGCACCAGAGGATACTGGACCAGTGGCTTGGCCGGGCATCGGACATGGTGCTCAGAGGCAATGCGGAGGCTGCGCTAGAGAGAGATGTGACCTGCATGGCGGTTGAGAGCATGTGCCGAGCGCAAGGAGCCCTCTCTGGCATCAGGGCGGCCCTCCTTGCAGCTGACTGTTCCTCTTCTTCTGAGCGGCTCCTGTGTTCCCCCTGTACTTGCATCACAGTCAGATGGAGCCTTTGGGGAGAAGGGTGGCAAGGACAGGAGGACGGCCCTGCCAGCTGCTCTGCTGCCTCCCACCTGGCCCTGTGCCTTGGAGCGGCTCCACATGTCCGGCGGCACTGGTTCAGCTTTCGCTAGCCCGTGGACGCTGCCTTGCGTTCAGCCTGGCTCCGTTCCTGGAAGTGCTTCAGACTACGTGAATTAGCTCTATGTTGCTACCAAGGGGGTGGCCAAACTCAGGGACAGACCCCTTGCTCTGCATGCACAAAGTCCCAGGTTCAACCCCTGGCATCTGCCCATAGAGCTTGAAAAAGATCCCACCCGCGTCCCTGGAGAGCTGCTGCCGGCCAGTGTTGGCATAAGCGGTCTGAGCCAGGATCCTGCCGCTCCGGGCATTCCGATGAGCTGCTGGGTCCCATTCCATTCATCTAACAGCGGCTCTTCTTTTAGGTGCACATTCCTAACCGCTGTGAGGCGGGTGGCATCCGACTGGCCCCTGAGGATCCAGAGGACGCGAATCTGAGCAATCCCAACCCCCGGGACCCCGAGGAGCTGAAGAAAGACCCCAACGCCTGCTTTTTTGAAGGACAGCACCGGCCTCACGGCTCCCACTGGGCCCCAGACTATGACAAGAAGTGCTCCGTATGTAGCTGCCAGGTGAGTGGGGAGAAGGTAGGGGAGCGGACCCTCTGGGGACCCCAGGCCTCCTAAACACCTGGCTGGAAAGCAGGTTCTGCGCAATTGCAAAAGCATATGTGCTGCCCGAGCTCCCACAATAGGATTTCTGGATTCCCAGGGCTGAGTGGAGGAGGCACCTGCAAGCTGAATTACCTGGTGCAGTTCCGTGCCCAGAACAGCCATCGCAAATGCAGCTGGTAGCTTGGGAGCCGGCATTCTGCCCGCCAAATGAATGTGGGATTTCATCTGAGCAGGTTGCAGGCATACGCCACTCTCAGTAAAGTTTCCAGGGATGTGCAAGATCATGAAACACACCGAAGAAGAAGGTTGTGCCCTAGATGGGGTGTAGCAGTTGTGAAAGAACGATGGAGCAGGGCGAGTAGCCTTCCTTGCAGGGCTGTTGGGAACAACCTTCAGAGTAAGGCAGCCGTGCTGGGTTGGAACCTGGTCTGGAAATAAATATGCTTGTCAGGAACGGAAGAGTTGTGTGAATGAGTCTCCATGCCTTCCTTCGCCTGCCCTCTCCTCTCCAGTCAAGCTGCCACCTAAGGAAAGAACCGTCTCTTGTTCCCTTTCCCCCATCATCCTGCTCTGCAGAAACGCACCGTGATCTGTGATCCTGTCCTGTGCCAGCCCCTCAACTGCTCCCAGTTGGTGCACCCAAGGGATCAATGCTGCCCTTTGTGTGAAGGTAACACAGGTCAGGTTTAGGGTTGCGGAAGGAGAGTGGGAGAGGGCAGGGGGTTCAGAGGCTGGGAACCTGTAGACCTGGTTCACCTGGAATGACTGCCCCACATACAAATTCAGCAGGGATTGTAATATGCAAATTGTGGGCTATTAATCCAGGGCAATCCAGGAAAGGAACCTGTGGGTACTGCTGAGTCGCGAGCTCTGGCTTGCTCAGGCATGGTTGACAAGTAATGAAATTCCACAGTTCAGCAACCCGTATTTCAGTGACAGCCGCTAGCCAACCCTTACTTAGCTTGTACTCTAGGTTGTCATTTTGTGCAAATCAGGTCCCAGAGTAGGATTCAGATTTTGGAAGGATGACCGGGAGCAAGACTGGAAAACTCTGGATTTTGAAAAGGAGGGCGATGCATTGAATTGCAGTCCGAAAGGCAGCGGTTAAAGTGGAATGTTTCACACCAGTGTTCCACATTAATCCTGTGTGTGCAGATTGGCACATATTTATTTATCATTTATATTTATATCCTGCCTTTTTTCCTTTCAAGAAATTCAAGGTGGCTTACATATTAATCACATCATTCCTCTCCTCCCCTCAATCTTATCCTCACAGCCCTGGACTGAGAGGCTGTGACTGACCCAAAGTCACCCAAATACCTGCATTCCCATCCTCTGCTCTTAACCACTACACCACGCTGTCTTCATTTGATCACACATCCTTTGAATGTGCAAGACAGAAACATAGAAAACATAGAAAACAGAGCGAGTCAGAAGGGGTATCCCAGGCCATCTAGTCTGACCTCTGGCACCAGCTGGAGGTGATAGTGAGCGAGGAAGGAATTGGTGGAGCCAGGGGGGAAACTGAGGACCCCACTGGCACCCTGCAGATCTGCTGGGGTGCAGTCGCATCATCCCTGGGCAGCATGGGGATGATGGGATTTGTAGTCCTGGCGCATCTGGAAAGGCTGCCCTAGGAAGTGGAGGGAATTGGGAGCGGTACCTGCAGTCCCAGATGCAACAGGTATCGCAGTGGCCTCTCCGTGACGGACATCTATCCCCTCGTCATCTCTTCTTGAACAGAGAAGAAGGAAGACGGACAGAGAGCTGAGAAGGCCCGAGACAGCAGCGAAGGTAAGGGAGGTGCTGCGGGGCGCAGGGGGGCGCTCCCAAGCCCAGACTGCCTCTGCTGGAACGGAGCGTCAAAACGTTCGGCTGAGGATCCAGGCTGCTGGCTGGGCAGGAAGAGAGTGGCCGTCCTGGGTGTCTGGAGAGGGCCAGGCTAGGTTGAGGGAGGCTGAGATATGGTGGGCCCCAGTTGAAAGCCCCCCCCCCAATAACAGCGAGCAGCTGCGAAGTTAGTACTGGTTGCCTCAGACAATCACCCACTGGGTTGATCCCTTCGCACAGTTTATTTGATTTAAAGTTTTATACAGCATCCATGAACTACGAAGGATCTCAGGGCACCCCAGTACAGAAAGAGGCGTGCAGTAGAATAACAATAAAATTTCAAAATAAATAGTGTAGCACGTATTCAACCAGCAAGCAGAAAAATGAACCAGTCAGTCAAAAATGATGCTTGGGCAGAAAAGGGCAGTTTGATTCTGTGCCAGTCTCTCCCCCCACCCCCCGCCCCATATCAGCACCAACCCTATTTCTTTTGGGAGAACATTCCAATCCCAAGGTGCCACCAGAAAGAAGGCACTGTCTTTTACAATTGCATCATACGGGGTGTCCAAGCTTTTTGAGCCTTAACTTTGGATCCAAGTTCCGTGAAACTCTCAGGAGGCCCATTCTAGTGGTGAGCAAAAAGGGACAGGCCAAAAATATGTAAGATTCTACTTAAGATTCTAAGATACTGCCAATAACTCAGCCTTAGAAGAAGCAGTTCATGCCTTTAGGATGGGAAATGCTACAAACCCTGGGAAACCATCATGATTGGCATTTTGCAGAAAGGGGTGTGGCCAGCTTGCAAGGTTGTCTGGATGTGGCTCACAGGCAAAGTTCAGTACCCCTGACTTAATCATTCTCTCCCCAAGGATGTGTAGAAAAGCACTGCTGACTCCCAAAGAGGAGCTGAACTCTGAATAGCGCAAGACCCAGGCAGGAAGATACAGCAGCTGGGCCTTTCCTTGGGGATTTGGGCACCCCAGTTCCAAGAGCGGAGCTGCCTTTTGCACGCAAGCAAGCCTAACTCCCTTCTCCTCCATTAGGTTGCTACTTCGATGGAGACAAGACATGGCGAGGCGCTGGCACGCGTTGGCACCCCGTGGTCCCTCCTTTCGGCCTCATTAAATGCGCCATTTGCACCTGCAAGGTGGGGTCTTCTTGGCCCTGAGGAAGACTGTGTCCAGCATCCTGTGCCCTCTTGCTCCTCAGTGGTGTTTCCCCCGGGAGAGTAAACTTGGGAGTGTCCAGCTGGGAGCCTCTCTCCCTGGATGCACCTCCATACCAAAAATAAGTCCTTCCCCCAAAGGAGACATCTAGCTGCCAAGAAAAAGGGACTAGCCCTCTCCCTGACACATTAGATTTCTGTTGCAGGGAATGTGTTCACTGAGGTGAGCTCCCTACGCTGGAACCTGAAGCCCTGCGACCCAAGCAGAGTAGCGAGATTAGGCCTACGTGGCGGGATGTGTCCGTTCCACAAAGTGCCTCTTTCGCGCCCTCCTCACCAGGGTCAAGTGGGCGGTTGTACGTGGCATGTGGGATGCAGTGGGCTTGGTGCTCCGTGTCGCACTGCGAGAAAGTCCTCTGGCTGGCGTTGCAGCAGCCCAGGCTGGAACCTGGGCTTAGCCTGTCAGACACCGGGTTAAGGAGCGAGGGAAGCTCCTTCATGCCTCCTTGGGGCGCCGAGAGGCCGTGCGACGGGACGGAATGGCCGGGAAGCTCCAAAGGCTGGCAGTGGAGGTGGGGAGACAGTTCCCCTTTCATCGCAGATCTGACCGCAGATCACAAGCGGGGCCCCTCCGTGGTGCTCCCCCTCCTCAAGGGAGGGTAGATGCCCCTCCCTGGTGCTGGGTGGGGGTGCACACTAAATGCGGCACACCCCACCTGTGCTTGCCAGATCTCCTGAGAGTGCCGGCTAAGTACATCTCTTGCAAGGGAGGAAAGAATGAGGGTAGCAGGTGCCCAGCCAAAGTGGCAACCGGAAGAGGACCAGCCCTGGCAGGGCCCTCCCCAGGACATTATCCAGCCTTTACTTACTTACGTACTTACTTTGGGTGCCACCCGAGGGCCCGGGGGATCCCTGGGTGACTCACAAGAAACAGTTTTCCCTTGTGGGGGAAACCAGCCTCAGTCTCACTCCGCCTCTGCCACCCTTCTGTAAAGTGTGCAAACGGATAGTGGTCCCAGGAAGCCCCCCCCCACCCCGTGTGTGTGTGTGTGTGTGTGTGTGTGTTTGCACCTGGCCCCTTCTGTGTTCTGCTCACCGTCCGCGCTTGCCTGCCTGCCTGCCTGCCTCTCCGCACAGGGCTCCACGGGAGAGGTCCACTGCGAGAAGGTGCAGTGCCCCCACCTGGCCTGCAGCAACCCCGTCCGCGTGAACCCGTCCGACTGCTGCAAGCAGTGCCCAGGTGAGCTGCGAAGGGCCGGGACAGCGGCCAGCACCGGGGGGTGCTCGCCTGGAGGTTTTCTGCTGCCGCAACTCCTGGCGAACTGGGGGCCGTGGAGGGCTGTGGGCTGCTCTGGGGATCTCCCAGAAAGGAAGGCAAAGCCATTTTGGCCCGTCTTGTTTCATTCTGTCCTTTGAAAGGCTTCATATCATTCAAGGCCCAATCCTGGGCAGGTTTAGGTAGGGAAAAGACCTGTGTCTCCAAGCGCTGGGCAGCCAGCAGCTGCAGGACTTCTTCTGACCTTCCCATGCCTTGGATTGCACCCCCGAAGAGCGCCACTCCTCCCCGGAACCGCAGCCAGTGCGGAAAGAACCGTGGTGGCTGCCAGGGTGGGGGGAGGGCTGTCGGGGGACTGAGCCCCAGCTCTGACCGCAAAATGTGTAACAGCTCTGAGACCAGAGCTGGGACTCTTAGCCTGTCCTGGGCGGTGTCTAGTGACCACAAGGCCAAGCCCTTCAAAGCTCATCCCAAGCACCCCAAGCATCCCAGGTGTGCTCGCACCTGTCCCTGCGAAGAGAAACAAGTGCAGGTATTTGGGCCACAGAATTTGCTCCCATAAAAACGCACTCCCCTCTGCTCCTGTGAAAATGCGTGTTTGGCCTAGGGATCGTCCCAGTGGCCTCTTCCTGTGCTTCCTGCTCTTTGTTCCGCTGCTGCACAAGCTGCCTTGCTGGAATGGGGGCGTTTCCCCTTAAAATGCCTGGTAGGGCTATTCAGTGGGATGCTTGCTTGGTGCCTTTTGCACTGCCTTTAAGCACGCACTCTAACTCGGAGTCCTGCACTGAGCAGGGGTTGGACCTGATGGTCTCCTAGGTCCCTTCCAGCTCTACGCTGCTATGATTCTATGAATTCTTATGGGTAGCACTAGAAACCAGCCATAGAAGAGTGTGCCCCTAGAATCGCAGGAACAAAAGTCTGTGGAGGGATCCCTGAAGACGGCCTGTCCCACCGCATCCCATTGTAGGGTAGAACCACAGCATCCCTGACAGAAGACTGCTTGGTCTCTGCTTAAACCCTGCAGAAAGAGAGGGACCCCCCCCCCACCTCCCAAGGCGGTCTGTTCCTCTTGGAATCACTTCTCCTGGTGTTTAGCTGAATTCCAGTCCCCATCCTCCCCTCTAGAGCAACAGCTCTGCTCCATCGTCTGTGAGACACGATCGCTCAAGTATTTGGAGGGCGCAGATGCATCCCCCTTCATCTGCTCTCCTTTGGGCTAATCCCCAGCCCTTCCCACTGTCCTGCACAGGGCATGGTTTCCAGGCACCTCCTGCTCCTGCTCGCGCTCCTCTGGCCAGCTTCTTTGCATTTCGTGCGTCGCTCTCAGTGAGCTGCTGATGTGGGCATTTGGGACCGCTGGCAAACAGAAGTCTTCATCTTTCTGGTCCACTTTCCCTCCCTAACCGCCCTCCCCCTGCATTCCCCCTTCTTTCTGCAGCCTCCGAGCAGAGTCCCTTGGCGCTCTCAGACATGATGCAGGCGGATGGCCCCCGGGCCTGCAAGTTTGGGCGGCAGTGGTACATGCACAACGAGAGCTGGCACCCCACCGTCCCCCCGTTTGGGGAGATGAAATGCATCACCTGCTGGTGTCTGGTGAGTGGGCTGGGTGGAAGGAGAGATGCGGGGGAAAGCCCGAGATCGAGACACCGTTGGGAGGCCGAGTTGCGTCGTGATCGTTCTCTCCGTGACGCTGCATTTATAGCGCAACCTTTTCCCTCCAGCAAGGATCCCGAGGCAGATGGCATGGCTCCGTGTTATCCTCACAACAGCCACCCTGTGCAGCGGGCCCACAGTTGCCCCGTGATCTGAGTGGGGACTCGAACCCAGATCTGCCAGTCCCCAGTCCGACCCTCAAACCACCAGACCCTCTGGCGCTCCCAAGCCTAAATGGCTGAATGTGGGGGGTGGGCCAGCATCTCTCTGTCCAGAACTGCCCATGTCCCAGTGAGCCCAGGGACTCTGCCATCCTTAGACCTGCCGCTGCTCAGCAGCTTGGGGGTGCCTGCCCTGGGCCGGACTCCTGGAATGGGTGCATAAGTGGAGGAGGCTTTCTAGCAAAGGTCAAGAGGAAAGCTTGGAGGTGGGTGGTGTATCCTGAGGGCAACCCCCTGAGGCACGCCTCAGGGCCAGGGGTTTAGCCGTACGAGAGGCTATCGCACAGTCCGACCCTGACTAGAAAGCCTTGATCAACGGGGCCGCCATAATGGGGCCAGGCATGAAAGCAAGCGTGAGTTAAAAGCAGGAGAGGCCAAAGCAGGAATCTGAGGAACTGAAATGCCCCAAGGTAAGCTTGCTTGGAAAAACAGCAAAGCGGCAGAAATATAGAGGGTTAAAAGGATGGGGAGGGTGGCATGCATGTCATCTGGTGCCCAGGGGATAGCAAGGCGAGCACAGGGAAGGCTTCCCTGCAGAGGGTCTTCCGTCACTGAGGGGCCACCATGGAAAAAGCCACGCCCCTGATGTCAGGATGTGAAGGTGCTTGGGGCAGGGGCTCCTGCGCTCTGCTAGGACTGTGTGGTTAGGGCTGCCCCTCCCGAGACTGTGCCCCACGGCTGTGAAGGGATTTTGAGGCTACGACCAGCCTTAGGAGAGCCTGTGTGACGTAGTGGTGAAGAGCGTGAGACTGGGGCTCAGACGACCCGGGTTCGAGTCCCCACTCAGCCATGGAGCCAACTGGGTGACGCTGGGCCAGTTACAGCCTCTCAGCCCAGCCTACCTCACAGGGTTGTTGTTGTGGGGATACGATTGAGAGCAGCAGCAGGAGAATGATGTAAGACGCTTTGAGTTCATTGTGAGGAAAAAAGCAGGAGAGAAATCTAATGAATAAATAGGAGCTTCTGCAACTTGGAGCCAGCGTGGTGCAGGGGCCACACTTGGACTGGGAACTGGGAGATCCAGGTTTTAGTCCCTCTCAGCCACAAAGCGCACTGGTTACCTTTGGGCCATCACGGCGTCTGATCCCAACCTGCCTCACAGGGTTGTTGTTGTTGTGAGGATAAGACGGAGAGAAGGAGAATTACGTAAGCCACCTAGAGCTCCTTGAAAGGAAAACGGGTGAGATATAAATGTAATTGCCATCTCAGGCAAAGCTTCCTGAAGCCGACCATCATGTAGGGCAGTGGGGCCAAAGCTATCGCAGGCGTGGCACAGCGGGCACCCAGGGCCCTCCATGTCGGCACACGAGCCAAGTCTCCCCTGCATTGCCCAGTAGCCGAGCATCGGATAGCAGTGCACGTAGGAGCCATGCGCACGGAAGAAAAGGGGCGGTGGTGCCAGGTGACGACGTCACAAGCAGCAGCACATTAGCCATGATTCTTCCGAACGTTCACATGCCTGGTCAGTGCACTGCCAAAGATATATATATAGAGTATATTTGCTTGGACTGGCTGTGAGTTGTTTTTCCAAAACTAAAACCTCAGTTTTCAGGTTTTATTACACTGCTAGCACTTTGCAATACGTAAGTGGGTTTTGAGTTGCAGTTTGGGCACTCGGTCTCTAAAAGGTTCACCATCACTGGGTTAGGGTTAGAAAATCAAGGCGTCCTGGCATATTTTTGATGGTTGGAATGTGTTTAGCATGGGCAGAAATGTTGAGATGTGCAGAGAAAGCTACTCAAGGACGGCTTTTTCAAAATGGCATGATTTTCAGTGGAACTTTTGCCCCGTATTAGGGTGAGGGCTGTGCGCCAGGGTAGGGTTAGGGTTAGAAAAACGAGGAGTCCTGGCATGTTTTTGATGGTTGGAATGTGTTTACCATGGGTAGAAATGTTGAGATGTGCGGAGAAAGCTACTCAAGCACGGCTTTTTCAATATGGCATGGTTTTCAGTGGAACTTTTGCCCCATATTAGGGTGAGGGCTGTGCGCCAGGGTAGGGTTAGGATTAGAAAAATGAGGCGTCCTGGCATATTTTTGATGGTTGGAATGTGTTTAGCATGGGCAGAAATGTTGAGATGTGCAGAGAAAGCTACTCAAGGACGGCTTTTTCAAAATGGCATGATTTTCAGTGGAACTTTTGCCCCGTATTAGGGTGAGGGCTGTGCGCCAGGGTAGGGTTAGGGTAGGAAAAACGAGGCGTCCCGGCATGCTTTTGATGGTTGGAATGTGTTTACCATGGGCAGAAATGTTGAGATGTGCAGAGAAAGCTACTCAAGGACGGCTTTTTCAGAATCTCATGATTTTCAGTGGAACTTTTGCCCTGTATTAGGGTTAGGGGTGTGCACCCGGGTAGGGTTAGGGTTAGAAAAACGAGGAGTCCTGGCATGTTTTTGATGGTTGGAATGTGTTTACCATGGGTAGAAATGTTGAGAAGTGCAGAGAAAGCTACTCAAGGACAGCTTTTTCAAAATGGCATGATTTTCAGTGGAACTTTTGCCCTGGAACTTTCTTTAGGGGTGTGCGCCAGGGTAGGGTTAGGGCAGTGGTGGTGAGCCTATGTTATGCGTACCACAGTGGACACGTAGAGCCCTCCCCGTCAGCATGCAGGGCAGGCCATCCCAACATCCGAGCATCGGATTACAGTGCACACAGGGGCCATGCGCATGTTCGGAAAGGAGTAGCGGCACCAGGCGAGGACGCCATGAGCCTCCACTCATCACTCATCAGGCGCAACTTATCCGAGGTTTTGTATTGCAATGTATATACACAGTATATATATTGGCTTGGACTGGCTGCGAGTTGTTTTTTCTAAACTACAACCTCAGTTTTCAGGTTTTATTGCAGTGTTGTCACTTTGCGATAAATAAGTGGATTTTGGGTGGCAGTTTGGGCACTCGGTCTCTAAATGTTCGCCGTCACTGTGCTAGGGAAAGTTGAAGACAAAAGGGGAAAAAGAAGACCCAACAGGAGATGGATCCGTCCCGCGGGGGACGCCACTGGGAGGAGCTGTGCAGGGCTGTCCAGGTCGGGATCTTGTGGAAGTCACTCCTTCACAGGGTCTCCATGAGCTGGAGATGATTTGTCAGTGCATAACAACAACGTAACTGGAATTAATTAATTAAATTAACATGTTCTGAAATTAACTGGACGCCACTGAAGAAAGTGCCGTATCGGCACCTCTTCCAACCAGGTACCTTGGCCCCTGTCTGCGAAGACAGTCCGCAGGATGACTCGGGGCAGCGATTTCAGCCTGGAGCGACACAAAGACTGGGGTTCTGGCCTGGCAGGGTCAGCTGGACGGACTCAGCAGGGGCAAGTTCTGCATCTTGCGTAACTCTCCTTCCTGTTTCCCGCCTGCCTTTTCAGTCTGGGGAGACCCACTGCCGGCGCCAGGAATGCTCTCGCGCCTCTTGCTCTCGGGAGGATAAAAAGGAAGAGGACACCTGTTGCTCCCAGTGCCAAGGTGAGTGAGCCAGAGCGTGTCTTAATGGGCAGGGGGGGTGGGCGGGTGCAAGGCTGCCTTTGAGCGGGGACAGCCCTGCCCTGGGGCTGACCCTCCAGTCACCTGTGCCCACAGGTAGCAGGCAGGCCCACAATAGATAGGCGTGTGTGGCAGCTGCAGCACCACAGTCCAGGTGTCATCTGGGAAGAGAGTTTGAACCCAGCACACACACTTAGGTTGAAGCAGCCTTTTTGAAGGCTATGTGAAAGAAGAAAAGCTTCCCTTGAAGGCAGAAGCGATCCTTTCGAACACGTCCAGAAATTGCAGTCCTCTTTGCTGGACGTCATGGCCTGCTCGGCGCTGCAGAATGGCCAGGCGGCCCAGGGAGGGGTGGCAGGCAGGCAGGCAAATGGCACCCCCATTTTTAAAATCTCTCGCGCTTCCTCTTCCACATATCAAGAATGTGCGCTCTGCTTGTCACGAATGCTCACCCGCAGGCACGTGCCCTGCCATTTCCTGTGCTCCTGGTATCCGGCCTGCTCTCCAGTGCTTAAGCTGAGGTGCTGGTCAGAGAAAAAGAGTTGCCAACCCTGAGTCGACACTGCAAAGCGTTGCAGTATAAGCCCATGAAAGTCCAAATTCTCAAAGGCCCCGGGCCTGAACAGAGGGGTCAGTTCCGGTTTCTCCCACATACATTTCAGTCCCAGGGTCTTTCTGTCCTAAATATGGAGAGCGTTATTAATTTGGTAAGTTCTTGTCAAAACTGAACTGAACTGAAATTCTCACCCATCTTTCCTGCCAAATACCTGCCCCTCTCAGCCTTCTGTCCTTCATCACCTAGGCTCACTACTCCTGCATTGCTAGATTCATCCCATAATATCCCAACAACAGCCTCTTTCCTTCCTCGGATTTTATCCCTCATCTTTCTTTCCCTTCCCCCACAACAGACCTGTTTCCACAGCCACAGATTCCACTGCTAATTCTAATTCCAATGGCTTGAGCAATGGTTACTGGAAGCCACTCATGCTCTCCTCCCCACAATCTCTCTTTCCAATTTACCTTTCTTTCCACTTTTCTAGCCAAATAATCTCCACCAGGGATGCTGATGAAATCTTCAGCAGACTCCAATGAGTTTGGAGGTTTCTGGAGCATTTTATTATTTTATGAATTGTTCCACAAATTTAGCAACAGAAAATATGCAAAGAGAAAAATACAGACCAAACTATTGAAATATCCCCATAGATGGAATCATGAAAATACGTATTTTCATTTCAGTGCATTTTTGACCAATACGCACATTTTCAGGAGACCAGATTTACAGAAATGTACACAAATGCATTTGCACAAATTCCAGGTTTAGCAATGGGCAGACAATGAAACAAAAGCCACCCAAAAAGCTGTAAATCAAAGCATGGAGTGAATTCATATAAAATTTCAATTCATATGAAACACCCATGAAATATGGCATGTTTAAAATGGCAGTGTTGAGAAACATCCCACTTGGCAGATGGTAGGCATGTCATGCGTGGAGCTGGCTGGAGTTGGGGGTCAGACTAGATGGCCTGGGAGGCCCCTTCTGCTTCGCTGTGTTTCTGTGTTTCGCTTCAGATCAGCTACATTAAAATGCAGGTTATCTGCCGTGCCTGCAGCGTCCGCTGACGCTGCTCAAGTGGCTGGCTCAGCGGATGCCCAAAGGGCTTCCAGCAGCAGTGAGAAGGGCCTGCCTCAATGGGCTACAGTCGGCCCCTGTGGTCCTGTGGGCTCCCTGTGCCAGGAGAAGGGATGGGGTTAGCATTTGCAGCCAAGCCTGCTATTGACAACCGCAGCCTGGGGAACAGAGCATTACTGAAGTCCTGCTCCCGTTCAGCAGCATGGATGTCTCCAGCGTTGTGCCCTTTAAGGTTCTGTTGGGCCGGCTTTTTGCCGAGGGTTCGCCCTCAGTGTGGAGCAGAGTCCGCCGCAAAGACAGTGGGACAAGGGCGGCTGTGGGCGCAGCCTCGGGTGCTGCTCTCTCCCCTCCAGTTACCCTCGCCCTCTGTTGTCCAGCAGCACCAGATGTCCTTCCGGAAGAGGCACAGGACATGCTGCAAGAGGACGCCAAGGATTCCTGGGCACGCTAGCCGGCCAGCCGGAGCCCGGAAGCCCAGATGCTGCGACGGGCATGGCCAAGCAGCTGGTGGAGTCGCAGGTGGGGGCGGGCTGCAGGGGCTGCTTTGCAAGGCCCCCCAAGCTGATCTGCGTCCTGCTGGCTTTCTGAAAGGATGGGGAGGGCGCTTCCGACCTCACCCCGGAACAAGCGGCCGTTCTGTTGCACTCCGGATGCCGCCTTTGCCCTCTGCCAGCAGCCTGGCTCTCCGATGCCTTTTGTGCCCGCCCGGGTGAGAGGGCGGGGGCAGCCGGTTGGTTCTGAGCACTGCTGGATTCGCTTGCGGGGTGTGGCCAGCACTGTGCCTTTTGCCGGAGAGCGCAAGGAAGCCCTTCCGGAGTGGACTTCTTGGGACACTGGATGACCTCAGCCTGCCATGTCCCTGCCCATGTGACACACGGCTCAGACCGCGTCCCCTTCGAGGGATCTGCCCGCACACACAAGCGTGCCTTCCCCCAGACGAGCTTGTATATAGTGTAAAATTGTCTTCCTTCACTGCATCTCTTGGTCTGTTTTTTATTCAGAGGAGGGGGCTGGTTCTTTCTGGTTGTGTAATTTATGGTTGCCATATGCAAGGGTCCCTTCCCTGCACATTGTCAGGCTGAAGGACTGCTATTGGAAATGATGTATTTATTAAAAAACGATGAAGGAAAAGCTTGTGAGCAACTGTTGGCAACTGTTTCATGGGTCTTGCCATTCCCCACCCCTGTCCCATCCCCGTGGGCTCCTGTGGTGGGCCTGGAAGCACTGGCCGTCCCTCTGTGGGTAAGGGGTGAAGGGGCTTGGCCACGGTGGGCTTGCAGCCGAGTACAACAAATCCAGGCTGTGTGTCCCTCTTAGCATTCCACGATATTATTTAAGAATATTTATTTACCACTTCCCATTTTAAAATTCTGAAGTGGTTTGCATCAAATCTTAAAGCAATGCATGGTGATTATACAAGCATAACTTCACTAGGATAAGTTAACGGCTGGGGAAAGCCCGGGCGAAGAAGTGTGTTTTTAATCCTTGCTGGGAGAGCACCGTTGCCAGTGCCTAAGGCATCGTGAAGGGAAGCTCTTTCTGGAGTGAGGATGCCACCCAAGAGCTGCCATCCCGCTGCCAGGTGGGACTCTGCAGGTGTGGCTTGGACCGTCCCCTGAAGAGCATAGTCCTCAAACAGCTGGGGAGATGGTCCCGCAGATACAGTAACCCTGTTCCAAGCTGATTCCGGCTGAGTCCTGCCTGCTGAGCGCAAAGCACAGGGCCAGCAGCGCTGTCCGGTGGAATGAGGAGTCCACCCCACATGGTGACAGACCCTCCTCTCCCATGCACACCTGCGCATCGCTGTTCTCTCCTCCTAACCTGGAGGCTTGGCCACATCTGGCTCCACACGCGACGACCACTGCCACTCGCCAAGCAAACGGGAGAAGAGGCAGCCAGCTGGGACATGCGCCCCGTGCGGCGCTCACATGACGCTGCCGCACTGCAGCATTTGTCCGAGCAGACGCCCGGCAGAGTAGTGAGCAAACAAGTCTGGGGTGGGGAGAGAGAGCCACGTGCCCTGGGCCCTGTAAGCCAGCCTGTCACCCTCAGGAGGTCCCGTCACTATCGAGGTAATGTCGGGGGCTGGAGATCCCGCTTCGCTCTTTCAAATGGTGCTGCTCTTTGGCGAAAGCTCTATTTCCAGTGTGGATCCAGCAAGCTACGGGCAGCAACGAAAGAGTCTCTGAGCATGCAGAGAGCAGTTTATTGAACCCAGACGAGAAACTGTTTCCAAGAACCCTCCTCCTGAGTGACCCTGCGCAGCCCCTCTGGTTGGCTGGCCCTCCTCCTGGTGCCGTCTCATGGGCCAAGCAGCAGGCCAGGCTCCTCGGGCTCTTCCCCCATGTTCGCTTCAGGTACCTTCAGACTGTCAGTTCCCAGGGTCTGCCTGAACACCTGGAGATGGTGGCCCCAGATTTCTCCCCCTCCTCTGCCATCTCTCTGCAGGCCTCGCTCGCTCTTCTTTGTGGTTGCTGTGCAAGCACATGACTGGGCAGGGGGCCTTGTTGTACAAAGCCGGCCGAGATAACCAACCGTGGCAAATGGCCCACGGTTCACAACCCAGCAACAACCCATGGGCTTTCTCATTCACACCACTGGATTTGGACAACCTGGTGATGCACATTTCAGCAGCAATCCGCAATTCAACAACTCCTGAGCCAACCATTGATACTCAGTCTCTGAGTGTGTTTTATCATGTTGCCTGTACCCAGTTGGGTCTTAACAAGGCCTCCTTCTCTAAGAGGCCACAGGACAGCTAAGTCACCCTACAAATAAACCATGGTGAGCTGCTTGATCACTGAACGACCCAAGGTGTGCCCAGGTATGCCCAGCAGATGCAACTCTGAAACTTGGCATGCGCTCTGTGCAGACCATGGAAGTGAGCCTATCAGGACCCTCTGTTTGAGAAAAGGCACAAGCCAATTTTCCTCTATGGACAGAGGGAGTCTCTGGTGCCTGGACTGCACCTGGAGGCCCTAAGGATCTTTCAGTCTCAGCTCCATGGCTGGAGAACAAGTCAAACGCCTAAGCTGGGACTCCACGCTTGGAGAGCCCCCCCCCCCCACAATCGCCTTGCAGGCAGAGTGGAAAGGACTGCTCCAGCTGCTTCCCCCAGGGCATAGCAGCAACCCCAGAGAAGCAGTTTTGGGGTGGGCAGGGGGGCAGGAAGGGGGCTTCCTGGTGATGCTTCCTCCTCCTCGCCTCTTGTTCCAAAGTGCCAGTTTCAGCCGAAACCGACCACCCCGCTGCGTTGCAGGATGGCAGGAGCACGGAGTGACCTGCGCCTCTGTGCTCTTCCTGTCTTGCTCGGCTGCTCACAGGCTTCCTGCCTTCTGGCTGCATGGGCATCCCGAAAGCGTTGCCTCCTTAAATACCGGCTGGTCGAAGTCTGCAGCAGCCTCCTCAGCCACTGGGGGGCAGACTTCCCCAGTCAGCCCGTTGCTTTGCCGGGAGCCAGGGAGATCTGGGGGCAGAGGGACGAGTCACGCACTTGCTGTGGGGCAGATCCCACTCAGAAACGGGGTGGACAGGCCCTCCCTTAAGGGGCTCCCGGGTTACACTTGGCAGTGCCCATGGGCAGGCCTGCTTTCCAAAACAAAGGGCCATTCCAAGCCAGGCAAAGCCCCCTCCCTTTGCTAAAAATAAAAATAAACTAGATAAAACCAAAATAAACTTCCGTGGCCTAACATTTGTGTGCTTTTTGGGAATTACTGAGACCTGTTGTAGACAAACAGCTCATTCCTACAACCTGTGCTGCCCTGGACCGTGTGGGCAAAGATTGCTGCACAAGTGCACAGGCAGAATGACAGCCTCACCAGAGAAAACTAACACATCAGTGAAAAGATTGATCTGAGCCCAGCTGTGGCTGATGGACCCATGTCAGGGGGGGCAGTGTACCCATGCTGGGCTTCAACCTGAACTTTGAAGGAGCTGTTCATGGTGCTGAACCTGCTTTAGGGCTATGATTCAGGACCAAGGAGAGCTCCTTTGAAGATCAGACTGAAGCCCAGTGTGGATACACCACCCCACTGATTTTGGCTGGGAAAAACTCTTGGAGAAGTACTACCATTCAATGTAAAGCAGCCTCCACCTGCCTGGCTGAGGATGCTGGGAGTTGTAGTCCAGTGCTTCTGCAGGGCACCAGGCTGGGGGAGGATGGCACAGAGAAACAGTCAATGGTCTGGCTTGATATTCAACAACTCCCCTCCTGGCTGTCCTCTGTTGGAAACAGAAAGCTGGGTGCAGTGGACCAAGCAATTCTCCTATTATGTTCAGTGACCCTTTAGCATCCCCGTTTTCTCTGGCAGAGTTCCACATTTCACAATCCTAGAACTCAAAGATATGCTGGCCCCTCACATCTCTTTGTCCTAGGGGAACACAACATATCATCCATTCAGAGTTTTCCAGTTACACAGAAGTCCCTGCCAGGAAAACCAAACAAGCAGAAAACAACGATTGTCACTCTCATTAACTATTAACCCTCTGAATTCTGTTTGGTGCTGTCCAAAACAGGTACCAGGTTCACGCCCAGCAAATGCATAAAGCCAGTGGCTGGACGACTACTCGTTCCGCCCCCCTCTCTTTGGCCAGCTCCGCCACTGGCGCGCTCTCATGCGAAGGCTGCAGCTGCACTCACTGGCAAATACACCAGTCCTGTGGGCCATTCTGGGCTGGACAAGGAAGGTTGAGATGAATGAGAAGCATTATCCAGCATGTTCACAGTGAAGCAGAAAATTGGGCATGCAAGGGGTTTAGCCAAGGCACGGGGAAGATCATTCCAACAGTCTTTCCCTTCTTCCAGATCATCAGCCTGTCCAGAAAGCCCTTCTGAGGGCTACACAGGTCCCTGCCTCCCTAAGCTACTTCATCAGCATAATACCATTTTTGGCCGACTGGAAGATCTCCAAACTGTGCAAGCTTTCAAGAGTTCCAGATCTCCTCATCAAGCAAAAAGCAGGCTTCAGAGAAATGTACAAGGGCAGGGGGGAACTCCAGCTTGATTTAGTTACTTATTTAAAATATTTATATATATTAATCCATATAAGATCACAGGATGGTTTACATAAAGATAAGAGAACAACAATAAAATCCTCAACAGAATACAATATACAGCATACAAAAGATATAATAACATATTTTAATTATAACAATCTTGGGTAAATAAACAAAATTAGCCTGGTGCTGAAATGAATAAGGAGTTGGTGCCAGGCATACCTTTCTGGGGAGCAGGTCCCACAATCGCGGGACTACCACCAAAAAGGCCCTTCCCAGGTAGCCCCTCTTCTAGCCTTTTAAAGGAGGACTCCCAGAGAAGGACCCCAACAGACAATCTTGGGGTATGAGCAGGTATATATGGAAAAAGACAATCCTTCAGCTATCAAGGCCCTAAACCATTTAAGGCTTTATGTGTCCTGGTTAACACCTTAAATCAGGCCCAGACTTCTATTGGTAATGAATGAAGGTGATAAAAGGTTTGGCTTCATGTGAACTGGTCCGCCAGTTCCCAGCAGCAGCCCGGCTGCTCTATTCTGTGCCAACTGAAGTATCCGCACTGTTTCCAAGGGCAGCCCCACACAGAGCGTGTTGCAGCACTCCAGGTGTGAGGTTGCTGGAGTGTGGGTTACTATTGCTTGGCTCCCCCTGTCCCGGAAATCACCGTGCTTGCACATTCCCCAAGTTAAGAGGGCAGAGGGTCTGCGGATGTACAAACGCGGCTCTGAACATCTCGGCTTCAGGGAACCAGGAAGGAGGACCCGTGCAACCCCCTCCCACCCCTTTTAGAAGTATGGGATCCCCACAGTTCCTCAGACAGGGAAGCGAAGTGAAGCACACTGGTCAGGATGGGCCCCGCTCCAAAAATAAAGCGAAGGTGGTCCTGTTAGCCAGAAGTAAAACCCCCAAAGCCGGTGCTCCTGCAATCCTTTTATTCGGTCAACCAAATGAGCACGCAATATCTGCAAGAGGATATAAGAGCCGGGATGTGAGATGTCTTGGATGTTTTCTGAGACAACTCCCCAAGTCGCCCCCTTCCCGCCACTAGAGGGTGGCAGCACCCAGAAAAAGCCCGAAAGACCAGTTTCCTCCTTCCCCTCAGAAAATTCAGAAAGACCAGTTTCTT